TTCAAGCATAAGCTTTTGTATGGGTATTCATGTCTGCCTTGCCCAAGATATGAATCCAAGCCTTGTGTGAACTTGTCCTGTAAACTCTTGAGAGCTGGGAGCATCATTTGAGCATGCACATTCTTTGAGAGCCTGGTTCTCTGATCACCTTTCTGTAGTGCTGCCCAGACCATCAGTAAAGGAAGAGGATTATGTGAAGGAAGAGTGGTTTAGAAAATGATGCAAGAGCCCTCTTAAGTTTGTATGTTGTCATCCTGCTTTTCTTTACATTATTCAGTGCCTAATTTCTATGCTGGGGGGGAATAAGTGTTGTTTTCAATATTATGCAAAGATGGCACTGTTCCAATGTGGCAAGCTGTAATTGTCATGTACACAGCATTCTGACAGGACACTATAAGTTAGTGACTAGGAAAATATTAGTAATGGCAAAAAGAGCTACTAGTAACAGAAAATTCACAAGGTTAAAATGATGATACTGTTAATATGACTCTAGATGTGAAGGACAGATAAACACCTTGGACCAAGTCTTGTCAAATATTAAGACAAAAGCTTAAACTTTTAAAGTGCAGTTATATGTGATGGAGTATGTAGCGGAAGTACAGAAATGTGATTAAGTGTAAGTGAGGTTTGTCACTTCCTTCAGCTCTATTTGCACATTTCTTAACAGGAAGGCAGTACTTTGGGGGCATGACATGAGCTAACTTCTTACTGCATTTCATTAATTGATATATGTAATATTTGAGACCAATGAATGATGTCTTGCAAGCTGAATTTTCAGGATATATTTTTATATTTTTGTAGAAAATAACTAAAATGGCTACATTCCTTCTTTCTGCTGCAATTAAATTGTTTTGAAATAAGTATGCCTCATATATAAACTGGACATTCAGTATTGTTTCACTCTAATTCTAATTCAGTCCAAGGGATCTATTAACAAGAGATTCAGTTACCCTGCCTCAGAGGCAGATCATAACACTTAAATACAAACATTGCGGCTATTATAAGCTCAGGGAGTAATTGAATATGGATCACTCTGAACCCTTACAATGTGGTTGCCAGCCAGAAGGAAATTATTGTTTTATGACTCTATCCTGTAAGTAAACATTTAAGTAAAATTCTAGATCATTTTAAGACCAAAACCCACAACTTACACATATTCATGTGTCTTATAAACCTTTCCTAATTGTTTGGCTCTGTGACTTTTTAACTCAAATTTCAGCACAGACAAGTTTGAACTACCATTCTCAGTTCATTTTGAACTACCACTTTCATTCTGAGCTACCATTTTCTCTTTACTTGTATTTTAAAAAACAGGCAGTATGTTAAGAGAGTTATAACACAGGCTTTTCCTCCTAGGTTTATATTTTATTAGAAAGCTAATGGGAAAGCTCTGATGCCTTGGGGCTCCACAGACAGCTGTAGCAGCAATCTCTAAGTAACAGACACACTAGTTCAATTTTCTTCTTGAATTTACATCATAATGATTTTTCTTTCAGTGTCAAGTAAATCTTGCTATCAACAGATACTACCAAAAAAAATCCCTTTGTGTCCAGGCACAGTAAATTGCAAAAGTACAGCCTGGTGTATCTATCATGCTAAAGCTGTAAATTGAAATTAAATGTAATTTTTTGCTGTAACAGTTCTTCTTGCAAAAACATTATTGGTTCTGTTGGTAGAGTGAGCCACAGGACTGGGACTGCCCAGAGACACAACTCAACAAGAACTCATATTTCAGGAGATTTAGCTAGAACTCAACTTACTTTCTGGTTTTTTTTATGTTGTGGCTGGTTTTTTCTTTCTGGCCAGATAAGAAATGACATTCAGCTCCTTGCTTTCATCACAACAGTTCAAGCACACTGGTTTTGGTTTTGACCACAGCTTTTATTTAGCCTGGATATCCCACACTGTGCCTGATGATTCGCTGAAAGTCTGACCCTCAGTGTTGTCACGCAGCCTAGCTTCTGCCCAGATTTCCTCTTCTACAGAAGGAGCTTTGCTGTGCTAGAGCTGCAGCCAGGAGACATTGCAGAACAAGAGCTCCAACTGTGCTTGTTAACATGAGGTGTCACTATGAAATAGACTTGCTAAGTTTTACAATAACAGGTGAAAAAAAAAAAAAAGAAAATTAGTCCAGGCAGCCGAATGGCAGAAAACCAACGAGCTATACCATCAACAAGGGCTTGGCACTGCTGCCAAAATGTTGCAGTCTTGTTTCTCTAGCACCTATTTGTGAAGGGAAGAGTGGCTAACTATCCTGCTCTTCTAATCAAAAGACTTGCTTATTTATAGGCATCAAATTTTATAGAAGTAGTAGCCAAAGTGGTGCCAGAGAAAAGTAAAAAGAACAATTGCAAGAAAAGCTGGCTTATGGAAAAAGACTTCCTTCAGAAGTGATTGCATTAACTTCAGAAAGTGTAGGATTGATTGAAGGATGTGATTGTTTTGACATACAGAGGATTTTTAGGAAGTGAAACTCTGTTTTTTTCCCATGGTATGGTTGAAGCAGGCCAAGAGACAGTCTCTCAGGAAAAAGGACCTTGTTTTTCCCCTGTTCTCTGCCATCTGAAAGGATAGTCGCTGCAGGAGGTCTATCCTAGGAACTGTGACATCTCCTTAAGTGGATGAGAAATAAAAAGCAACCCAATTTTATTTCGGAATGGACTAAAATGATTGTAAGCACAGATTAACAAGAGCTACTGCTTTGTTTGGTGTAGCTAAGATTCCCAGAGGCTCAGCCTGGTGCAACTGCCTCAACCACCCAAGCCACACTGCCTTGGGTCATCACTGCCATTTCAGCTCCCCAAGTCTCTCATCATACATTTAATCAAACTTGAGATCATCAGATCATATTTATTACCACTTTCCAGATTTGGCTGAGGAGGCAGCCTGGGTTTGCAGGTTTGTGTAAGCCAAAAATACTTGTGAGATTTGTTAAGCTGGAAATGTTTATGTTAGGAAATATTGGCTCAGAGTTTTCATTAGGCTACATTAGGCCCATGGAAATATATTGTTATGTGACCCCCTACATGCACTGTAAAGATTCAGTGCTGTGTTGTACAAGTTGTGGTGAGGCTCATGGTGCAGCTGTGGTGACTGACAAGGAAATCCCCCACCTGCCAGCTGTTAACACAGCATCCATCAACAGGTATCCCATGCTAAGATCTGCAAGTCCTGTTGTATATTTGCCAGAAGCTGTGTGGTTTTGCTCTGGGTTAGCCCTCAAACACACACACACACCCACACCAATATTTTAGTGATATATATTTAGTCACAGATATTTATTGACTGACCATATCATATTTACAGCCTCTCTCCTTTCCCCCTCGCAGACATCTTTCTCTAGTATATTTCTAGGATTTCTGCTTTTAAATCAAGCATTCTATCCTATTCTCAGGTCCATTTGAATATTACAGACAGATGAGATGAGGTAAAAGGACAATGTTAATTCCTGAATGCTCTCAGAGAGCTGTGGAGACAACTGAGGAAGAATGTGATTGGACCAGTGGGTGGTGACTGCTGCTGGAAGGAGACCTCATCCCCATTTTTCTTCAAGCACTTTCTCCTTCTTAAGATTTTTCTTTAATATCAGACAAACACTTCCCTAAACCAACAGCAGGTAGCGTGTGGTTGCTATTTCACTTTAAGTAAATTCTACATTCAGATCTGCAAGATCTACTGAAACTGTCTTATATTTCTGCACCTAGGTAATGAGACCTTCAGAGAAAATTGTGAAGAACATTGATTTCTTACCTTCTTGAAAGAGGAATTTGCAGTTGTTTCCTATCTACCTTCCTTTCAATACAAGCAGAAAACTTGCCTGAAGCAGGACAGTGCTGAGCAGTTGCTGCTCTTCATTTGCAGGGCTGGGCTTCTGGAAACACCATTCACCTCACAATACCTCATGGAAAATGTTTATTTATACAATGTCAAGAAAAAAGGCCACAAACAGTTTTGACCTGAGGAAAATACAAGGGCATTTGATAAGAAGGAGAATCTTTGTCACATAAGGATGTTTGTTCTTAAGGATGCTTACAAGACCAGGATATTTCCCTCCCAATATCACTATCCCCATCCCATTGGAAGATAAAATAAGACTTATTCTTATAAAATAAGACTCTGCAGACAGCTGAAACTGGAGGATCTAACTACATAAATAAGTTCCTTGGTGATCAGGACTTGTTTTATCAGTAACTTGTGGTCACTGCATGATAGACCTCAGCGACAGCATCACCTTGGACATGCCATTTCTTGGTTTCTCTCTTGGGATATCTTTCTTCCTTAAGTTCCTACATTTCTTTGAGACAAAACAGTACCTTTTTAGAGGTACTTTATTCCTGAACTACCTGAGACACCATCTGGAAACAGTCTTAGTGTGATACATGATCAACTTGCAGTTAAACACACAAATTTTAATGTAAGATTTTTGTCTGTACAAAGTTGTCAGAGAAAAAACACGACTGTAACAGCTGCATGTAAAACATGGTTGCTTTTGCTTACAGTGTTCTATCAGTATTTATCTTGGTTTTTTCATTGGTTTTTTTCCCTGTGATCAAGATGACAGCCGTCCCTGCATCTCACACTGCTCCTCCATTAAATACCTTGTGTCATTATACAGCTTATTTTGATGAAATTTGTTTAAACCTCTGCATGAACAGAGAATTGCCTTTTTTTTTTTCTGGCACATCCTATGCCTTCATGACTGATGCTGATTAAAATATCACAAATCCTTATTTTCTCTTCTTAAAATCACCTGAAAAAAGAAAAGAGTGCTTTTACATAACTTTATCCTCCCCTACATAGTCCTGACTTATTCCTGAAGCACAGGACCCTATTTGCTGGGCTTTGAGACACTTTAAACATAAAAGTTAACTTAAAAATGTAACTATAACACAGTATCAACTTAGTGATTTCATAGCTTAGAGGTGTGATACGTAACCCAAAAGTCTGCTGGTATAATGTGACAAAAGTGCCTTCCTTTTTGATGTGGACTGTGACCAGTGTAGACCAACACTTTCCTGCCTCCACGGAGCTCATGAGCTGTCAAGCTGCAGAATTAATCCACCTCACTGGGGGACAGTTCAGTAAACAACACAGATGAAGTCCTGTGTGTCCTTGGCACCTCCAACTTCAGATGTCCACGGGAAGCTGCCTTTGGAACAAGGTTTCTTCTCATGCCAGGCTTTTGACTTGCTCTAGAATTGCTTTGAAAGGCAAGCTACCTTGTTTACTTTGGCCCATGGAATTCCCATTTTTTCATGGAAAGATAACAAGAAAAACCTGTGAAGAGCTGCTGAGCAAGAAGAAAAAGAATGGCAGCTACTTAATACGGGAGAGTGAGAGTGTGGAAGGAGCCTTGTGTCTCTGTGTTTTGTAAGTACCCTAATACTGTTTTTTTTATAAGCTTTCAGTTGGATCTAAAGACAAATCATCTTCTCTAACATTAATAGTTCTTCCCTGATATTAACAGACTCCAGGAGTGTGTCTATGTATTCTAAATGAACTATAGTCTGGTGATGCTGGCTGGTCTCTCTCTGCAGACAATAAGGGGAGCCCAGAGAAAATACCTCAGCCTGCCAAAAGATTCCAAGATCCTTACTCAGAGTAATTGCCTCTGTAATGATGAGTAAAAAGCATTTGAGTAGTGTTGAGACACTGAAAAGTCTCATGGCGTGTTACAAAACACTTCCTTCTCTTTGTAGACTTTCTATCTGATAAAAACTCAGCTTTGTGTTTCAAAGGAATTTTACCTGATATATGAACATGCGCTGAGGCTGAAATTACAAAGTTCTGTTTGAATTTATATGACAAATCCTCAGAAAAGATGGGCATAGAAAACTGCTACTTCTAGTCCAAAGCTTTAATTACTACAATAAAAATTTTATTATTTTCTTTTTCTGTAGGGAATAGTACTTTTATTTCCCTTTTTACTCTTTTCATATATAATTGATCTGTTCATAATGCATTCAAAGTTTAAAAACTAGAATCTAGGTCTTTGTTTGAACCTATGAGGTTTTGCACTCTTGTTGCAGATAGGTTTGAGTGTGACATCATAAACCTTTTAACACGTCTAATTAATGAACAAATATAAGATGTTTTTATCAATCACTAAAAATTAATTTTTTATGAAATAAATCAAGGGAGAGGGGAGAAAAAGAGAGAGAAAAAATGGAGTACTACTGGGTTGGCAGGTAGAAGAAAGGAGATTGCAAAATAACAGAATGAGTAGAAGAGAAATAGCAAGTTGGGGACAAACAGAGCCCTCGGCAAGGGAGCTACAGGAACTTGCTTTCAGTATGGTGTGGAATGAGGCAATGCAGGGGCTGAGGGAAGGGCAGGAAGGTGGAAGGCACATGCACACCTTGTCAGAAGGGACAGATGGGGAACATGACACAGAGGAAGAATGACAATGTTAGTTAGAACCTGGGTTAGGCTTTGTGCCACGCCAACACAGTTGTTTTTCTTTTGTCTTTTTATTTTTTTTAAGAGCAAAGCACATTTGCCTTGTGATGTCTTGCAGACATACTTTGGCCTGTCACATCATGACTTCCAGTTTGCCTCTCTGGGTTTTAGTGTTAAAAGCTGATAAAAACTGAAGTGTTTAGTGGATTTGCCTATAATCCTGACATGAACAAATGCCATAGTTAAACTGCAAGAGTGGCAGCAGTAGTACACAGATGGTGGCTTGCACAGGTCAGAGCAAGGCTTGTGTTCAGATAGCACATGGGGTGGTATTAGTGCACTGGCTGAGAGCTGCCCCAGAAACTGGGCTGCCTGGCAGTGGTTCACTAGGCAAACTGCCCTGAAACTGTGGGCAACCAACACTGAAACTCTTAGTGATGCTGAAAGGCAGCTTATGAATTAGCATTTCAACACCTTGTTTAGCACCTAACATGGTTTATATGCAAACTGATAAACCCTTCTCAAATTAACTGATCTGTGGGCAGAGACACCGATCCCCTCACTACAGCAAACAAACTTTCTTATCCTTTTCTACTGGGATATGGGGGCCAGTGCATTCCCATGGAGGACCTGGGAGGCAGAATGGTGTGACCAGTTCAAATGCATCTCTCCTTTAATCAGGCAAGGTGCACGGTCTCATCTAGAATTATCCCAGGTGGCTGACAGCACTTCAATTCAGACCTACTGGTTTTGCTACTGTTCTCCTTACTGTTCAACAAGCCATTTTCCCTCTCACATTGCTTTTCTTCCAGACCAAACATTTGTTTATTTGTACCCTTTACTAGCTCTTGGTAAGCATTTAGTAGTTAATGAGGAGACAGAAGTTTCCATTGTAATGGTAGTTTCATGTTAATTTACTAAGAATTACAGTACCTAAATAATATCTAGGCAGAAACGTTTTAATATTTACTTGATCAGTAAAGAACAAGTTTAAAAAATTATCAGTTCCTGGTATTTCTTTTTCACACTTCTCTGTCTCTGTAAGCACTCACATTTGTAAAAGTACTTTTCAGCAAGGAACATGTATATTTCCACAGGTATGTCAAGAGGACAAAAACCAAAATATGCATCCCTGTGATACCACTTTTTGAATTAAATTAAACCTGTTATAACTGAAAGCTTTATTCTGATTTTAGTTCATAGTAACTTTTTTTGCAGAACAAAGTAGCTTATTTTCAGTAACCCTTCACTTCTGTGCAAGTGTCCTGAGCCAGCTTTCTGCGCCAAGATTCTCCTTCTCATGACAGTTCACTTCACATAGCCACAGCTGAAGTCCTCCTGATGAAGAGGCACACAAGTTAAAAAAACTTGTTTTCAACTGCTGCTCCCCCCTCTCCTCAACTTCCTCACTTATTTGTGATGTATATTTTCTTCAACTCTGCTACCTTTTTTTATCACAGTCACGATCTCCAGTCCACCTCCTGAATCGCTGCTACTGGGGTATCTGATAAAGCTTTTATTTCTGTTGACAAAATATATCCAAAGACATCACTAGCCTCAGTGTTCAAACAGCTGCTTATTATCAAAAATAACAATGACTAAATGCAAAACCTTGGGAAATGCAAAGGAAGAACATTATTCTCAGAAGTAGGAGCCATACAGTCATTTTCTGGGTGCTGGTGACTGGAGGCCATTTTCTGCCTCCAAGAATTCAACAGCCTTCTTGTAACAGAAATGCAAAATGCAGGTTAGAGCAGTGAGGAAGATAAGAGAGAGATGAGAAGAGGTGATGTCTGTGGAATGAAATTATGCTTGTTAAAGGCCTGTGTTAGGCTTAGTTCATATGTTCTTTGAAACTCCTGGTTAAAGTAATCTTGTATTTCAAGGCATTAAACCTTCACTCATTTTGTAATCTCCAGGATCTCGTCTTTTGCTTTCCTGTCTCTGCCTCATTCAATTTTACTGCACTTTTACTGCACTTAATACTGTTTGCAGATATATCCACTTTGTTAATGTGATGTGTGATGTATACAATGTTTTTTCACAGCTTTGAGGACCTCATCTACACTTACCGTATCTTCAGAGAACACCAAGGGTATTTTAGAATACAGGTGAGTAACTCACATTGCATCCTAAAGATTGCATTAAATCATAGATTTTTTTAAAAATCATAAATTAAAATATCTTAAACTATGATCAATGGTAATTTTAATCCATTATCATTTTAGTCTATGATCATAGATTTTTAAAAATCCATAGGGTTAGTAGGACAGGGTTGGGGGAAGAGAACACAAAGAGCAAAAGTGAGGAAACTCCTGGACCGGATAAAATACAGTGTAGGTAAAAAAGGTAAAAAAAAGTCATGCACACAAGCAAAGCAAAGAAGAATTTAGCAACTCCTTCCCATCAGGAGGCAGATATTTAGTGACCTCCTGGATAGTGAGGCCTCAGCACAGACATAACCACAAACGTACTCTCTTTCCCTACACTTTTATTGCTGAGTACCGTGTCACATGGGGTGAGATGGGACAGCCAGCATCTTGCACACCCCCAGCCTACTCCCCAGGGGAGCCAAGTGCAAGAAAGACATCTTTAGTGCTGCACTGTGGTCTTTGTGAGGGGTCCCCAGGATGAGGTGAGAGATGAGTGAATCTGACTCCATGTTCTCAGAAGGCTGATTTATTATATTATGATATATATTATATTAAAAGAATACTATACTAAACTATAGAGAAAGGATACAGACAGAAGGCTTAACAAGAATTTATAATAAAAACTCGTGACTGACTCCTCAGAGTCCGACACAGCTGATGGTGACTGGTCATTAAGTTAAAACAATTCACATGGAACCAATCAAACACACGCCTGTTGGTAAACGATCTCCAGACCACATTCCAAAGCAGCAAAACACAGGAGCAGCAATCAGATAATTATTGTTTTCATTCCTCTCTGAGGCCTCTCAGCTTCCCAGGAAAAGAAATCCTGGCGAAGGGATTTTTCAGAAAATATCATGGTGACACTGCACGAGCACTGTTCAGCAACAGCCAAAATGTGGCTGTGTTAACAGCACTGTTTCAGTCACAAATTCAGAGCACAGCACTATGTAGGCTGCTATGAAGGAAGTTAAATCCCAGCCAGACCCAGTACACACAGGCATTGGCACCCAGTCCATCCGGGGCTGAACAGAAGATGAAGGATGAAGGATGAAGGATGCAGAAAAACCAAAGAAAATAAATACATGTTTCTTTGTTAGTTAAACCAAAGCCCCATTCTCTTTTAATGACTACTAGTAAGCTGCTCACTGTCTGCCACTGCCCTGAAATCACAGCACTGTAAAGTCCGTGCATAGATCTCTGCAGGGCTGAGCTGCAGGAGCTGTTCAGTCCTGTCATATGAATCCACACTTAAAGAACAGTTTTTTGCACACAACCTTTGCTTCCCAATGCTGATATTTTGTAAAAATTTGAGTTCTGTTTGTCACCTAGTTATTTAAAAGCAGCATTTTAAGTGAAAACTAAATATGTTATCCCTAAACTTTTGCTCTCAGACCAGAGTGCAGTGTGTAATGCTGTCACTCTTCAACGCTACACTGTAGTGGATTGCTGCAGCACACATCTATACCAATGATTTAACTGATGTTCTTTTTTAAATAAAAAAAAAAAAAAGATAGTGAGGGAGGTTACTTTTAATGCCATAACCATGGCTCCAAACAAGTGTCCCTAGTGTTTTAAGGACAGTGCAATATTCTGTCACCAAACCTGTTTACAAAACAGCTCCTTGGTAAATAAGAAGCAACTTATCATCATTTTCATTTAGGGGACTCCCTCTGAAGGGAACTTGCAAACACATTTTGTTATCCTTTCCTTACAGACTTCTGAAGGTGTTCCAGAGAGGACCTTCAAAACATTAAAGGACTTAATATACGCTTTTGAAAAGCCAAATCAAGGACTGATAATAAACCTCCGCTACCCAGTGAAGAAACCGAAGGCCTTGCAAAGAAGCCAGAGGTCCAAGTCAGAAATGGACAATGTTTATGATGGTGAGAAACTTAGCCCTGCCTTTGTGGGTTTTTTAAAGATGACAGCATTGATAGGTTTGTGGTGAATACTTGCTAAACTTTGTTTTGCATGGACAGAAGTTTTACATCCTCCCTTCTCTCTGATGTTCACTGAAATGGTTATTTTCAGCTCACAGGTTACTTACCTTCACCCACTACAAATGAGCAAATTAAAATCACTAGAGAACACAATGATGAAAAAAAGCTCCCTCCAGCTCTCTCGTTCATGGATGTTGATGCTTCTAGGCTGGAAAAGACTGAGAACCAGTTTTACCTAATGTGCTTCTGCCAAGGTACCAGGCCCTTGCACTTGGGGGTTGAGGCTGGCCTTTACCTTCATTGTCCAGGTTCTAAGATATTTTTGTATCAGAACTGTACTCAGTTAGTTCTAAGATGGGCAGGCAAGCAAGCCAGCTTGTGATTTGTATTCAAACATGAAGCATATAGCCTTGTGCTTAGGGTCACAGCTTTGGAACCAGAATTCAGCCTCTCATTGCTCCTCTTCTGCTAATGTATGCTCACAAGTCCCAGGTCTAGGATGAGGATATGATGCTTCTGCCTGACAGAATTATGCAAATAGATACAATAAAGACAGAGGTTCTCATAAACCTTTAACCTGTGTTGTATAGCCCCATGTCATCCTTACATCCTTGTTTTGAGAAGCATGACTGCAGGCACTGTTGATAACCTGCTAGTATCCCTCACACCATTCTTCACGTTCCTTCTGTACAACACTGAGCTGCAGCATCCATCAGGTCATGGGCTGCAAAGTAACCCTGAGGCTGTTCCATGACCTCTGGCAGAGTGCGCCGAGAGTCCCAGCCAGGACACACGTAAGAGAAATCCTTTTGTTAAGTACAGTATCATAAAGGAAACAGAACTTTGAAGTCTCCACCCTGCCCTGTCATTTGCATCTCATGCCCAACAGCAGCTCAGCACGGTGGTGTGGGGCAGTGTTAGGATCCAGTTACTAAAGTTATTAGAAATGCCTCTGCCCAAATTAAGGTGCAAATGAGACCACATGCCAGTGACAATAGTATGAATTTTATTTTATAGTAAATATGAGAGGAAGAGTGAGAAAAAGGAGTGTAAAAAGAAGAGAAAGGAGAAAGAGGTGGGGGGGACAGGAGTGACAGAAAATATCACCACTCCATGAATCCCTACAATGTTTCTTTCATCCTCTCAGCTGGTCATCTTGGTGGTGAAGGTCTCCCCAGAATGCACAGGATCTGGTGGCTAGGTAGGAAAACCCAGGCACCTTCCTGGGGCCGAGGGGAGTTTGCCATTGTGTCTTACAACAGACTCTGGGATTTTTGTATCACGTGCAGTCCTGTGATGCAAGGCTTCAGGAACAGCTCTGGGGGACACTTCAGGGAATCTCTGATGGATTAAGGCACTCCTTCAGCAGCCTGTCAGGTGAATGCCCATGGATGTGGCTTTCCCAAGGTTAGGGGTTGCATAGCCAGGTTGTGTAAGGGAGGATGGGCAGAGGTTACAACATGCAGAAGTTACAACATGCCAAAACTTCCTCCCCCCACACTGGCTGGGGGAGAAATCTGTGCAAACCTCCTCCCAGTAAAGGGGTCTGAGGGCTACAGGCTCCCCCACCTTGACGCGAGGCAGAGATGATTCTCAGTACGGCTGCTGGGTTTGGCTCACACTCTTTTCCTTCCTTACTTGTTTCAGGTGATTGAAGAATGGGTATTCCTTTATATAATCTCAGTAGTTTGACTTTCAGTCCAAAGTTCTGGTTAGGCAACTACAGGGAGGCTTCTTTGGTTGTAGCTTTTTTATACAGTTTTTGTTACAATGAGCAGAACTTCATACCAAAGTTTGAGGCATGAACTATTTTAGTCTCTGACAGCCTCTCTGTGCTGAAGTCACTGGGGTTTCACACACAAGAGCAGTGCAACCGCTCTGGCCAAGCTCCCCCAGCTCTGCGTACACTGCTGCAATTTTGGGGCCTGAGCCCCAGCAACCTTGCTGAGGGGAAGCCACAAAGACACATTTCCCATGTCATCAACTTTACCTTGTCACCTGTATCACACAGCAAAAATGCCACGTTTACTCTAAAAATATTGTTATGGTTTCTTATCATTGCTGTTGCAGGGAGACGGAAAATGTTGCAGTAGCATGGATATGCTTCTAGGAAGAATCAGACATCATACATATTTTATTTTTGGTCCTGCAATAGTAATTTTTTTCTAGAAGATGAACAGTGTCCTCATCTGGAATCACAGGGAGGAAAACAAGCCCTTTTATAGCAATGTCAAAATATAGGTAGTCTTCCGTAAAAATGGAGGTGTTTTAGAAATAATCAAGCTACTTTGGAATTGTTTTTATTAAATTTTTATTTAAATTTCACTTATACAGCATTCCAAACTTCCCTTTCAGGCTGCAGGCCCACAGCAGGGGCTTACGTAAATGCCACACTCTCCAAAACACAGGCACTGCCCAAAGCACAGCAGTGCTCCCTAAAGCATGTCCCTCACATGCTACCAGCAGCTGGCTTTGCTGCACACACGGGACTGAGCGCTCCAATGCAACCAGTGGAAGACCTCAAGGGGCTGAGGTCACGATCCTGGTGGTTGGAGATATTTGAGCTTGGTTTTCTAGCCTAAGAACAGCTTTCCTGAGGGCAGCTGCTTGAACAGCAATAGGTTTCCATAATGGAACTTTGAGTTCCAAGCATTGAATTTCTGCCTTTTCCCTGGCTTCTGAAAAACCGTAACAAATCTTACAAAGTGTAAGAGAGAACAGGATTTTTCAGGCTCTCTTCCTTTAGTTGGGATGAGAACTTTTCTCTTAGGTATTTATTTACAGAACAAGGAATGCATTATGAGAGTCACAGGTATCTCAGCTACTAATTCAATTTACCAAGAATGGATGATTTCTGACATTTGACTGTTCCTCAGGAAGGAGGGGGTATCATGTGAATACAACTGTTTACAACAGTATTTGCTGGCTCAGAAAAGGCAATGCAGGCTTTGCCTTTTCCTGGAGAATCCAGTCCATAGCACAGGGGGCCTAAACATTGACGCTGCAATAGCACACTGAGAAACCAAACTGAGTTTCTGATACCTGCCCTGCCACAGGACGTGCTGCTTCCCACAGCCTTTCAAAAGAGCACTTTGCAATGATATCTTTTTTTGTTTGTATTGATTACTTCACAGAAGTTGATGACAGCGACGATTACGTTGATGTCTTACCCTGAAGGACCTGCGCCTGATGGTTTCAGAAGCTGCCATTCCAGGATGTGCCACAGCATTCCAGGGCCTCAGCTGGGTGTCCTCTGCTCCAGATCTGGAATTACCTCCTCCTTTTGCAGACTGTCAGAGTAGCTGCATCTTCAACCAGAAGATCCAGTAGAAGCTATTATGCATGTTTGCTCAGCAATAAAAGAAGTACTTTTTGTTGCAGACACACACATAAGTATAGGGGAAGGTATGTGTCTTCTGCTGGTTTTTAGCCAGCAAATTGTCCAAGATGTTGACTGCTAGAGTGAACATTCTGCTGGAACACAGCAATATAAATACATTAAATGAATAGGCATAAAGCAGTAATTTATGGCAGAACTGATAGGTGTTGATAAAAACCATATATGACAAAACTATTAGCATTTTAAGATGCTTTAACACCACCAAACTCTGTTATTTTGCACATGATTCATGTTACAAATGAGGCTGGAGGAGTGAATAGTATTTCAGCCATGACAAGGAATACTAGTAGTCTGTAGCTTGAATAATGCAAATTAAAACAAAAATGCTGTGTTAAATCCATGCCCAAAAAAAACCAAAAAACCAAAAAAACAAACAAACAAACAAAAAAAACCAGAGGAAAATGGTTTGAAATACTTTTAATGTTGAGGAATGGTTCTGGCAGATTACAAGAGGACTACAAGTTGTACATACATGTCAGCGTGAACACATCCTTTTCTGAATAGGTTCTGTACATATGGAAATACTCAATTTCATTTTCTACTGCCATTAGTTCTGTATTACGTATATGTCTTTTGTTGTTTGTTTTTAATGCAAGAATTTGCTTTAATATTAATCCCAATTTTAAATATTTAATAAATACTTTAGCTCTGAAGGTGGCCTGCAACTAGCAGCCACAGCCAAACCTGGAATGTATGTCCTGAGTCTTCCAGTCACTACTACAGATTTGCTCGCCATTTGAGATTGTGAGGAAGACATTTACATTGGTTGTATGTTAAAGACCCTTCACAAATTATTTATGTATTTTAATGGGTAGTACTAGTTAGATTTTTTTTTTCTATTATGTTTCTTTCACACCATTATTTGTCAAAGGAATTTTAGACTGTTCAGTGCTTTGGACTTCATTATGAATTTAACAGTGCTGCAGAGTTTTTGGCTCCAAGCTCAACTGGAGCATTTGTAGCATGAAATAGACATATTTGTAGCATGAAAGAGATTTAAAAAAAAAAAAGACTATTAACTAACCCCAGAAATGCCAAGAAAAACTAAAATATATGTCCAAAACTTCATTAATTGAAAATAGTCATCCATAAAAAACAGAACTATGGGACACAAACACCCCAGCCCTTGCACAAACACCCCAGCACATGTAGCATAAAATAGACATATTTGTAGCATGAAAAAAATAAAAAAAAAAAAAAAGACTATTAACTAACCCCAGAAATGCCAAGAAAAACTAAAATATATGTCCAAAACTTCATTAATTGAAAAGAAAGTAGTCATCCATAAAAAACAGAACTATGAGACACAAACACCCCAGCCCTAGCACAAACACACCAGCACATAACTGATGTGTTTCTTCACTTGGAGAATGCAGCAGCCTGTCTGATAGCTGGTTATCACAGGTACGAGGAACTGCTGTGCTGAGCTACCCCACCTCCAGCAGCACGGTCCTCAACAAAGCACAACACTAGTTTTTCTGAAATGACAGTCTCAACAGTCCCCCAGGTGCTTACTCAGTCACACTGATGTTCAGCCTTGAGAAAAGGCTGAGTGACAAGGAATCCCAGCCTGTGCCTTATGGTGCCAACTGAGTGACTGATGGCTCAGCAGAGGACAAGGGCCTGGCCGTGGTGACTCTCAGGTGGCACTTGACAGCATGTTTTGGAGTCAGACTTGCACCACAGGTCGTGGTGGCTGTAGCTCCTGGTGCAGAATCCAGGACTGAGGGTGACTCCAGTCACTTCCCCAGCGTTCCCTTGCAGCAGTCATGTGAAAAGGGGACACAGGAAAGACCAAGGACTTAAAAGAGGAAAGAGACACAATGACATTTACATTACATCCTCATTGCTCGCCTGTCCTTTATGGCAATGTTTGTCCTATAAACAGCATAGGAAAACACAGAGGCCGATATAGACGTTCCTACACATATTTGCAGGCCTAATACGGCAGAAAACAATCTGTGCACGAGTTGAAAAAAATATATTCAAAAGCTTCACACAGCAGCATCCACCTGCCGACATCTGAAAGGTGGCTGGGTGAGGGGGTGTTTGTCCATGTAGGGCGGTTGAGCAGTGGGGGCGCGGAATCTCTTGTACCCTCGACCTTCGAGCACATGGTGTAAGGAAGAATATGGTCCAAGAAGGGCACGATCCCGACGTCCCGGGGCGCTCCAGCTGCAAGGGGTACGAGGAAAGGATTCCTGCAGCAGCGCAGGCAGCGGGAGCGGGCGCTGCGCCCTCACCGGCCCGCGGGGGCCGCTGTGTGAGGCGGACTAGCGGCCGGGTCGCGGGGCCGCAGGTTCGATCCCCGCCATCGCCAGGGCACTGCTAAAACTTCTCCCTCCCGTGAGAAAGGCCAGGGAGCCATGGGCGGGAAGGGAGGCTGGCTTCTGGCCGGGCGTAAGCCCTCCCGATTAGGAGAGGAAAGGGTAATAGGGACCAGAAAGGCAGCAAGAAGGCGAGGCAGGGCTGCGGGCGCCAGGTGGGAAGCGACTGCAGCTCCAACCGGAGGCAGCCCTCCAGAGGCTGGGCGGCTGGAAGACTCAGCTCCCCGCGAACACACACATGGAAAGTGTGTTGCGCTTAGGAAAAGCATCCCTTTGGATCGCCCCGGCGGCACGTGAGCCCTAAAGCTTCCGTCGCCGATCCGAGCTCCCGCATCCCCCCGACCCCGCGGCTCCTCCCCTCGGGGCCACCCGCCCCAAGCCGTGGCTGCTGCCCGCCCCTGCCTCCCTGAAGCAAGATGGCGGCGGCGGCGTCGCCTCCCGTGCTGCCGCGCGGCGGCCGCGGGCGCTCAGTGGTCGCTGCGTCACGATGGCGGCGGCGGCGGGAAATGCGAGTGAGGGCCGAGAGGAGCGGCTGAGGGGCCGCGCCGCCATGGACCCCCCGAGCTGCATGAAGGCTCTGCTCCTCGCAGCCACGGAGTACCGCGCCGCCAGGACTGCGCACAGTGCCGCGCTCCTGCAGCGCAGCCTGGAGGTGGGAGCGGCGCCCGGGTGTTGCTGTGGCTGTGGTGTCTGTTATTATAAAGTTTTGTGGTGTGTTTGTGCGTTTGCAGAAGCGCGTTGTGAGTCTATATGCACCCAGGGCAAGTAGATAGTGTGGGTTAATTTTTTTTTTTTATCCCCTGAATTCTGGCTCGCATGAATTGTTTCCCCGCTTAAAAAAATAGCGTGTGAATGACGAAATGGTTTTGCGTCTGGAGTTTTCCAGTTCCGTGCAACACGTATTTATTTAAACGTGTTCTCACTAAGGAGGTGGACCAGTTCGTTTCTCTGATCTTCAGGTGCAACTTTGTGTACAACTTATGTGGTGGCCTTTGAATTAATCTCCAAGTTACCTTTTCAAATACAGATTTATTTTAATTGCTAGAACGTTTATGTGAGAGTTAGTATCTCACTTTGCTTTCTTCCCTATATCCCTTGTGAAGAGATACAGAGGGAATACACAAAACCAACATTATGGGTCTCCCATATGCAAAATATAAATTGTGTCTACCTGTTTTGGTGTAAAGGTATATAATTTTTGGCCTCTTCTTATATAGGTTTCCCCTAGTTCAGGTTCCAGTTTTTCATCCCAGTCACAGAGTCCTCCCAAAACAGCACTGACTGCTGCTGCAGATCCTCCCCGCGGAGTGCCACCTTTGGGTCCCTGTCCAGACCTTTGGAAGGCAGGCTGATTGCCACGTGGTTATTCTTTCAAAATAAATAAACTTGGCACTTTCCAAGTATAAAGGAATGAAAAACAGATTTTTTTCTATTTCTGCCATTTTTTTTCCCCCCCAGCAGATGTGAACATAAATATCCCAGTAGAATGACACATTCTCAGTTTGTCAAGTAGGACAAAATCTATTTCATGCAACTCTGTTCTTCATCTTCTGTGTCAATTACATTGTTGCAGTTGAGTAAGTAAGGTTGTTTTTCTCCTTTCATCTCCAGGTTATCTCTGGACTGAAGCTTACCCGTTTTTTTGCTTCAAACCAGATTCTACCAAGTGAATGTCTCAGTTGCCTTGTAGAGCTCCTGGAGGACACTAATATAAACCCTTCTCTGGTCTTGTCTGTGGTTAGTTTGCTATCACAGCTAGGTAAGGTTTGCATCTGAACTTTTTATCTTTTGTCTGGGCAAGGGAAGATAAGAGAGATGCTGATTCTGTGTTGTGGGTAATTAATGTCTTGAAAGAAGCATGAGGTGTGAAAAATAAAGTATTTTTCATTGTAATGGAGTGCTTAGCTAAGCTACCTGTTAAGAAGTTTTGCAGTGAGAAGGAGATCCCTGTGAATGACAATGATCATGTATGATCATGCTTGTCAGAATTTATCCACTGGGAAGGGTGAGAAATTATTCTCTTGTTCTTTATTTTTGGAGCTGGAAAAGTGAGGAACCTGGCTAGGACATGCAAGGACAAGGATAAGTGGTGTCATATCCTCTGTTGTAATAACAATCAGTCAGGACTCTGTTTCCTCATGCAGAAGAAGCCAATTCTTTATTCTCATAGCTATTTTTACACAGTTTTCACAGACCTCATGTTCAACTCCGACTGGCTAGTAGTTTTCTTGCTCTTTAATTCATTGGTTAGGAAGTGCTTGTGTGAGACTCTTTCCATCTACAGGTGTTTACATATTTCTTTGGTGGATTCTCATGGCACAGATCTATTGTTTATGCAGGTTCCACTGATTTTTCTCTCTAAGAATGGGTTGTTATGCAAACAAATTCTCATCCTTATAATTTCTTCACATGGGAACTTGGAAGCTACTGCTAGCTTTAGCTAGTGTAGCAGGGCCTAAACCGTATTTTATAAGACCTTTCTTTTATAACATCTTTTACCTGTCTGCGACAATCCTCAACTGTCATGACCTCAGTTTACCTCTCCCACTGGAGTGTTTGCTGGCAGTGTGGGCTCTCCAATAGCCCAACCTATGTGCATCAAGTTTCCCAATTGCAAAAGAGTTCTACTGCCTTTTGCTTGTGTATTGAGATGCCTTTTCTGTTTTTTTTTTTTCCCTCTATTTCATGGAAATGGGACTTCATTGTCCAGGGAGTGCTGTGCTCAGAGCACAACCTACATATACAGGGAAAAAATATCCCATCACTGCTTAGTTTCTTATCATATATGAGTAGTTATTCATGATTTGAGTCCTTTATGATGCTCCCTTGTTTATCTTCTCTGATTCATGGAGTATAAACCTCTCTGAGCTTCCTTTTATTTTTTTGGAACAATTACTGTAAAATTATATTTGTTATAGGGCTCTGGAAAATTTTAAGAATTAAGTCCTCTTCCAAATGATCTATTGCTCTATTAGTTTTGCTACAACTCTTTGAGGATTGCCTAAGCAGAACTGGCTTCTATTTACTTGTTTAACTAATGCTAGATAACCCTATCAGGTTATCAGTTTGAGTCTACCCTTCCACCATAGCATGAGGCAAGAAACTGAGCTCATTAAGATCTAAGTCTTTGAAGTGCAGGTTTCAAGATCTCAGAACTGAAATTTGGTAGGGAGGAGGTAGACTATTCTTTTAGTGTCCAACCATCTTAGGGAAATGGATTAGTGTTATAATTAACTGTAAGTCCAAAAGTGAGGTAGAGAGGCAAGAAAGCAGGAGCTGTCATTTGTTTGTAGTTACCTTTAAAACATAGGTGAAGAACTGCTCAGAGACTTTGGCTTCTGCTTCAACTGGTAGCTAATACAACAGTTTCTTTTGCTAATAACTCCTAAATTTCAGCTTTAGACACAGAGACTAGAGAAGCTCTCCAGGACACCTACAATCTCACAAGTGTGCTGGCAGGAGTGGTTCATCGAAGTTCTACTAATCTGAGTGATCCAGTCTTATTACAGGTAAAGGAACAAATGCTTGATAATGTTTGGCTACTGTTGCATAATGAACATTATGATGTATGCATACAATAACACTTCAAAAGCTGTATTGGAAATAATGTGTCAAGGGAAGTTGGTCTTAGCTGTGTACTTTATTTGCTGTATGAGGTGGGTATGACAGAAATTTAACAATTTTATAGAGTTCTTTGTACTCTCTTTAATCATACTGTGCTTCTCACCTGCTCTAACCAAAGAGCCCCTAAAAATCCCACGAAGCAAAAATAACAACCAACCAAAAAAAATGCTGCTTTTGAAAAATTATTTCAAGAAGTCATTGCTTGAGAGCTCAGAAGATTGATTTCCAGTTGAGGTATTTGGCTGTTTCTCGTGACACAAGCCATTTAATAACACAAGCCTGGAGATCATTTTGTCTAATCAGTACTTTGACAGGTAAATGTGAAGGAGTGAAAGGAAAACTATGGCTGCCTGTTTTTATGGGAGGTTTGCAGAGCATAGCTTCTTTTTATGGGAGGTTTGCAGAGTGTGGCCTCTTTTTTTCTGGTCAGTGCTATCTGCCAGTGAATGCCAGGCACTGTACTAATCAAAGCTTACAGTGAATGTCTGTCTGACTATCAGTTTGAACTCACCAATTTTAACCTATCCTTAAAGGTTTCTTTATTACCAGTGAATGCCAGGCACTGTACTAATCAAAGCTTAGATGAATGTCTGACTATCAGTTTGAACTCGCCTATTTTAACCTGTCCTTAAAGGTTCTTTATTTTTTTTCAAATATGCACAGGTTTTCCTCTAAGCTTTCAGCAAGTACTTGCTGGTTGCCTGTTGTCACTTTTCTCTGAAAAGCAGAAAATTCATTTATTTGCTAGTAGTCCTGTGGCTCTTGTGTGGAAAATAAGTCAGGCATCCAGTAGAGATCTCTTTTCCTGTGGTTTGTGTATTTCTCAAAGCGTTAGGAGTATCACAATGGATCCTAGGGATCCAAGTGACTCGCCAGTCAATAGGAGAGATTTTGTAGTCACCAGATAGATCCAATCTTAAGACCTTGAAACTCTTCGATATCTAAATGGTGAGGTTTAGTTTTAACTGCTAACCTCTGCTGTGATTGTTGTCATGTTTGAGTGTATTGACTTCAGTTATGTGAAGTGTGCTGAGTGCTGTATGAAGGACTTTGCTACCCTTAGACCTGTTGGCAGTCTTTAGGGCAAACCTGTTTTTCTGTAGGCATCCTTTCTATACAAGTTTGCAAAGTGCTTTTTTTATTTTGATGAAACTTCTAGACCTTTCAGTAGGACAAAGCCTGTTTAACTGACAGAATGGAGAACTTGCTGGTGAGGCAGAGGTGGAGAATTGAATGTGATGCCTTGAGAGGCTGACCTGGAACAGAGACTAGACAGAGCTAAAAAATAAAGAAGGTATTTATTAAAAGGCTTTAAAAGGATACACCTTGGGCAGTACAAGAGCCTGGCCAGGGCTACACCCAATATGGACCCAAAATGGTCACAAGGTTTCACACTTTTATAAGTTTTGGTTCATTTACATATTGGGGTTAATTGTCCAATGAGAGCTTCAGGTTAATGAAGTCCCATCCTCCACATATGCTCTCTTCAGTTCACTGTTGTTTATGCACTTTGGGCTTGAAACTGGTAACTAACAGTTGTCCTTGGTTCCCAAGCTGGAAAAGAATTGTCTATCTATCCTGTGAAGAGAACTTCCTAACACTTAGTATAAAGCTGAGTTACACACCAAGGCAGTACAGAATCTGAAAAATATGAAAGATAAAACTTAAGGCATCAAATGGGCTGAAAAGGTAACTCACCTGTCAAAATAAAATCTTAATAATCTTTTTAGGCTTTTACTAATTACATCAGTATGTTAGGACATTACAATGTGCTTGCAGCAGCTTGTGTAACTGCTATATCAGTGTTAGAGTCTGAAAATTAATTCAGTTGTGGTGTCTTGATATTTGTCCTTTCAGTTTGATCTTTTGTAACATTCCTCCTGAGATGGTGTAGGACCAGCATGTGAACAGCTTTCTGTTTCCTCAGGGTATTCAGTTGCTGCAGAGACTAACCTACAACGTTCCCATCTTTTGTGCTGGTGCCAACATCGATGGATTAATTTTGTTTCTAATGCATCATGTGTAAGTGTGTACTCAGTGTCTTTTCTTATGGGAAACAGCAAGCTAAGTTTCTAAACTTTCTGAAGGCCATAAGAGTACTGTACTAATCTGGTCTCCAGAGTGAGCTGTACTCTGAAGTTAACAGACTTTCCTTTGAAAACCATGTACTTGTTGCAGATTGTCAGATGCAGCAATTATGGGACTTTGAGTGATGGAATATTAATTAGCCTCAGCCCACCTCCACACCTCTGGGAGCAGGGAGCTAACAAAGAGAAAAATCAGGAGGAAATTCATGCTTATCACTAGGAGCAGACCTGTTAGATTAATAAAAATTTGATTCAAGCGGTCTTGTAAGAAATCAAATGAAACTTATATGTAATAAACAACCTCTGATAGCAGTGATCTCTGATACTTTGGGGGTTTTTCAGATGTACTCAGTTAAAAGCTGCCCCCACTGCATGGATTACAGTCTGAATTTTGCTTTGCATGGTGAAATGGTGTCTCATTAAAAAACAAGCTCTTGCCAAGACACAAAACCAAATAGAAGTCCCCCAACCACCCAGCTCTCCCAGCCCCAACCCTACAATTTCTTGTAATTAAATTCAGGATGCTTCAATGAAAACATCTTTTGGGCTTTTCTTTTAAGTCAATCCACTGAAGATGAGTTAACAATACCGTGTTTAGGACTCCTGGCAAACCTCTGTCGTCACAACTTGTCTATTCAAAGTCAAATAAAATCTTCGGTAAGAGCTTTGCTTTTGTGTCATGATTCTCCAGCTTAAGGGTAAGAGTTAATTAACTCTACTAGGTAATTACCTTAGTACTTCTTTAACACTTTCAGCAGTGATAACCCTGACCTGCTTGTTCTGCCGAAGGGCAGTTGTTTCTCCCATGCTGGAGAAAATAACCAATGGAACAGGAAGTTGCGTATCCTCTTTCCCTTGATTCATTGCTATGTTGTTGCCCTGGCTTGTGTTATGTGTTTGGTTTTTGCAACTGTTCTCTGCAGCTAAAAAGTGAATTTAAAATCTAATCATTCTTCCATAGAAAAAACTAAATGTCATTAAAACATAAAAATTATAGGTGGAATTTTGGTAAGCAAAAAGGAGATTAGCCTTTCAAAAGATAAATCAATAAAATAGCACTGATCTTCATGTCAGAGTCCTTGAACCCTCAAATACATATACATATCTGAACTGCTTGGTTCCTGTGTCTTCATAAATCAGTGCAAACATTTTATTTTTTAATTCAGAAAGAGAAATTAATCTACATAGAAGCAAATGTTGTTCTGTTTACCTTGGAAGAGAGGCAGGGACAAAAAAATGGAGAAACTATTGTGAGATCTGATCATTAATCAGAGAAGGGATAGGAGTCAATTTTCAGTGATCATTTTCTCTTACGGGCTTTAGCAAAATGACTTTCTCATCTTTCTTTAATGATGGAATTTCTTCCTTGGTTGGTTCTCTGTTGTTTTGGGGTGTTTTTTCTCATTTTTCCTTATATAGGTTGAAAAGAGAACATTAACATCAATGCCAGTATTGTGCAGCAGAACAATGAAATAGCTTTCCTAGAGAACTGTTGCCATACCAAATATCTTTTGTATTATTCATTATTTGTATAGCTTATGTATAAGTAAGTAAATTTGGTGGGTTTGGTGGGCTTGTAATATCTTTGTTCTCCTTTTTGCTGTAGAGTAATGTGAAGAGTTTCTATCGCACCTTAATAAGTTTCTTGGCCCACAGCAGTTTGACTATGGTTGTGTTTGCACTCTCGGTGTTATCAAGCCTTACCCTAAATGAAGAAGTAGGAGAAAAAGTAAGTGTGTCTTTGAAGTTATTTCTATTCTTAAGTTGTAGATAAAGCCAATTGTCACACTGGCCTAATAAAATCCTAATTCCAGCTAGTTTTAATAAGCAAGACACCCAGCAAAGTATGTACCTATGCATAACTTTTGTCTTTGTTTCAGCTCTTTCACGCTCGAAATATCCATCAGACATTTCAGTTAATATTCAATATTGTTGTAAATGGAGATACTCTAACAAGAAAATATTCTGTTGATTTACTCATGGATCTTATGAAGAACCCCAAAGTTGCAGATTATCTTACCAGGTATGGCTCCATTTCCTAAAAGTATTTTTCCTAATCTCTAGATCAGTTTCTTTGCTGTATGCTATTTGAATTCTAAACCAAACACTAGGGGAAAAAAAAATCCCAAGATGATTTTTGAATGTTGCTAGTTGATTATAATTGCTATATCTGAACCTAAAGGGTTGCTGGGTTATTAGTTTGACACAGAATTGTGACTTAAAGCCTGTTTTTTTTCATTGTCACTGAAGGAATATTGAATACCCTGTTCTGTAATGTTTTGTCTGGACAGTGTTGGTTATCAGACAACAAGATGAGTAGCTATCCTGCCTTTTACAGTGTTATATAATCTTCAAGCAGAATAATATGGTTGAAGTTGTATGAATTAATAATTTTATTGGGGGTGGGGGTGGTTAGAGTGGTTCTGTGGAGAGCTTGACTAGTAGTTCTGCAAATTCCACTACCAGAATTTAGGTGCTGATTTTCAATCTCAAGCAAGCAGTAAACATAGCTGAAAAATCATAACTTATTTTAAGGAATTTACTTTAATTCTTAGTGATAAATAACTTTAAATATTTTCAATGCTTGTGCTGTTTCAAATAGAAATTAAATTATCAAAACCATCACTGCACTTGAAGTGTTTGGGGGTAAGAAGGAGAATAGGGCACTTTCATCACTTGGTGTAAATCTCTAAATGTGCTGAAATTTCTGTTTTATAATTTTTTTCTTCTCTATGCATGCTGTAGATACAAGCACCTCACCACTTGTCTTGGTCAAGTATTAGATCTCCTTCATGGAAGGGATCCTGATTCATCATCTAAGGTATTTATACTTTTTCACTTAAAAGCTAAGAGGCTACATTCCTAATCTAATTTCTCTTCTGTTATTATAAATAGGTTCCTTGTGTACAAGGGTTGGTCACTAAATACACTGTCTTCAGGACTCTTAAATGACCTAGAGAATTCAACAAGTTTATATTTTCTAGTTATTCAAAAGGCTGTCAGGTTGAATTTGTAATGTTTTACCAGATTGTGTGTCTGCTTTGTGGCAACAAATGAAAGGCAAAAAGCCAATATAAACACCTTTTGTGCTTTGGCTATTAAGAAATTTTGGCATCTACCAGGAATGAAGTGTATCCCACTTTGCTCTCTAAACCTTGAATTAATACTACTCAGACTTCAGCTGATGATCAGGGAACCCTGATGCTAATCTCAAATGTGTAAGAATAAGTGTTCTTACCTTAGCTGAACAAAGAGATGCCACTTCTGTTTAAGCAGCAAACTGTTACGTTCAGCTTTGTGTCACTACCACCTTATGTAAATGAAACACTGGCTGTCACTGAAGGCTAAAATATGAAATGTGAAAATGTTCGGGCTAAATATATCTGTGAAACAGATCTGGAGTTTCTATGAATGTGTTACACATCCCAGTTAATAATAGATGATACTATTTCTGTGTGGTTTTGCTGTTGTTTATGTGGTTTGGAGAGGCATGTTGACATGGAGCTTTCCAGGGTGGTTTTCTCTATGTGCATGCTCAGAGAATGGATGTGCATCCATTCCTGTCTTAGAATGTTTTCTCTTTGATGGCTTTCTTCATGCTGAGTGAATACATGTTTATACTTTTACTGTATTGCTAGCCAGCAGTCATGTCAGAATAAAAGAATACAATACACTGAATACTGTCACAAGCCTTCACCAATCCAACTAACTGTTTCTGCTGCTGACTTGGCTTTAAAGAAAGAAAATTATTCCTCAGAAAACTTTCAGGTGCTAAAAGGAGTTGCATTGAACTTGGGTATCTCTTTAGACTTGTGTTACAGAGTTGCAGTTTCTGTGTAAGTTCTTGATTTAAAAGCACTTGAACTCTTCACTTCACACAGATCTTAGAGCTGCTGCTTGCCTTCTGCTCTGTGCTAGAACTGCGTCACACCCTGCGCCAGGCGATACTGGAACCAGCTGGCTTGCCAGTCTCTGCAAACACCAGACTTGTGACTTGCTCAAAGAGTTTTGAACCATCTGTTGCATTGGTGCACTTGTCAAACCAACCATTGGAAGGCTCTGAAGACTGTTCAGGGCTAGCATTGCAATTACTCAAAGAGATTTTTGAGGTAAAAAAAGACTGATAACTGAATTTAAAGAGCTTCTTAATAGCTCTTATTTTTAAATTATTTTAAATCAACTGTTATAGTTTGACTTGAAAAATGGCATATACAAAATACCTATAATAAGGTTCATTATAAAACAGTTATGTTGGAATAAACATACTTCATAAAACAACCATTCTTTTAAAGACATGGAGTATTTTAGAAATATGTCTGTGTTATAAGTGGAAGACAAGGCAGTTTTTGAAGTCATGATATAGGTAGAACACTATCAGAGTTCCTTTCTAGGGCTTAAAGGAATGAGGAAGCTCCTGCTGTTTCTGTTCCCTGTAAACTTCCTCCTCCAGTATGATACTGCTCAGCCATCTTAAACCTGAAATAGCATGAGGCTGGGACAGCAGGAACACAGACTGGTGCAGGAAGGGGTGTAGTAAGCTTGACTTCCTTGTGCTGTACTTTTCAATACTGACATAAAATGTCCTTACTACAGGATGTTATTAACAACAAGAATGGTAAATCAGCTGAACACTTTATGGATCTTTTGCTGCCTGTTCTTCTTGATCATCTTCAGATGCCAGAACAGATTGTGGATGAGCTATTAGTGAAGAAAAAGTGTGAAAGAATGGTCAAGGCTATTAATGTCCTCACAAATATCCTTTTAATGTGCTTTTTGGCAACTGATTTATTATTCCACCACCATGACCTGCTCTAAGATATTAAAGGCATGTTCACTTTGGGTCACTTTAATAGCTTCTAATGACAATAACTGCCCTAATTTTACTTAGGAGTGTCATCTTGCAAGATCTAAAGTAGTTTTCTAATTGCTGTGAAATTATTTTGTAATATAGTGGTGCAGGATGAAATGTTGTGGCTATTCAACAGAAGAGATGCACTTTACAGATCAAAACCAAAGATGAGTGTTTTCTTTGAAACTGTGGGGGGAATTTGGGCAGCCATCTTCTTGATCCATGTAGTATTGTTGCCTAGCTAAGACAAGTACAGCTCCCAGCCAAATATGATACAAATTTAGATAAGAGAAACAAGGAGAAATAACATGGAATGACACAGTTTTATAGTCCTCACTGAGTCCTTAGTGCCCACAGTAAGTTTAATAAGGGGGACATGACTGCAGGATGTAATCCTGCATTTAAGCTGAGTTCTGTGGAGAAGTGTCTGCTGGCTCATTTCTAGGTGACTGGGTCTTGTATTAGGGACTGCCTGGTCCCTGCCTTTTGTTGACTATGCTTCTTTATGCATTCCATTTTATTAAGGTTTGCCTTCACTGTCTGTTTCCAATAAGTGAAAAGTGAAGCTTATTTGATTTGTTAGGCATGATTTAAGTGCTTTGTGTTGTTGGGTATTACATGCATTTTTAGAGGCTCTTGTGCTTTTATGCCGTAGCTTTTGTGCCCTAGCCTTATTATTATAAAATGTTGCCTTTTGGTGCCAATACCTAGGCATAGGTATATTGAATTTATTCTTAACTCTGCCTACTGCTCTGCAGAGATGACACACTGAAAATGCATGTCTCGAAGGTGCTGACTGCCAGCCAATGCACATGTCTGATAGAACATCAGTTTCCTTATTGTGGGATTGATACTGGCTTTGGAACAAAATTTGTGGACTCTAAAATGTGGTGAGCACACATACTTATCTAAAGTCTAATTAAGCATGACTGGTGTGAGAGTTGTGATATTGTTGCAATGGAAGGAATATGGTGGTTGAAAGTACCATTTAAATCAATATTGGTATTAAATTAAACTTGGTATTTTGTGGAATAAAAAGTAGTCTTGCTGGTCAGTTTATTCAGATAATGTTTTTGGCATAAGCTGGAGATCCACTTATGTGGAATAATGACCTTAAACCTCATGCAGTAGTTCAGACTGATCCAAGTTAAAACTCACTAGAACTACTCATGGTATGTGATTTCTCATTTTGATTTTATGCAATCAGGGTTCCAAAATATCACACATCACTGTGGGGGGGCAGTTGTTGCACTGAAAATTAAATGCACGTTTCTCTCAGCGCATTGTCATTATAGCTAAAAGCTAGCTGTAGCTAAAATATAGCTATAAGTTAGCTATAACTTACAGCTTAGCTATAGCTGTAACTTATAGCCAGTTTCACTGGCCAAAACCTGGTGAAATTTAATTGAACCTATAATTAAACCCTCCTCGCTTTCAACTGCAATTGGTGTTTTTGGTCTTCATTGTTGCCATCCTTGACATGCTGGAGAAGCTCAGGCACACGTTCAGGCAACTCAGTATGATCTCTTTGGTTCTAGCATCACTGCCTTGCTAGATATATTTAGTTTCTTTGTGAAGGTATTTATTAGGTTTTTTTTTAATTGACTGGATTTGTCAGTGCTGATTTGACATATCTCACCTTTTTTTCTTTTCACCCAATTTGCTTTTCTACTTGGATGTTTAAAAGCAAACTTGCTACTGATATTATTTTGAAAACACTTGATCTTATGAGCAGATTGCAGCAGGATGTACCTGGTATGAAGGTCAGCTTCTACAAAACGTTACAGGTATGATTTTAAAGTGTTTTATGAAATGTATCTGTGAAATAAGGTGTCACTGCACTACAGTAGTTTTAGTTATAAATGTTTTTCATGGTTATTTCTGAAGTGGTAAAGCTTCTAGGAAAGTGCAGTCCCTTATGCACAATTCCTAAAGGTTGTTTCACTATTCTTCTAAAATAACAGTAGTTTGCTTTTACTGTAGTCATTTGCTTTGGTAATGCATATGAAATAATATTTTAGCTGCCTGGTAAGAATGATCTTTTTAAGACTGCATTATGACTGCAGTTTAAAGGTAGCAAACTAGAAAACAATTACCACAACAATATAATCATTTTTGGGGTTGGTTACTATTAAATATGTACATCTAATTTGGAGCTTTGCATGGCCAAAACAGTTTCTGGTCAGATGATGCCTTAATAAGTTACTTTATAGATGGAAAAGCAGTCCAGAGAGTCAAACGCTTCTTGCTGTTTTGGAGATTTTTCATTCTAGAATGGGAATTGTGTAATTGAATGGGTAACAATGAGTTTTACAGTCCACAATTAATCTTTATAACTTCTGCTAGTGACCTTTTATGTTGGGTATCAAGCATTTGAAAACTTGCAGGAGTTAACTAGCCTCTTTACCTCTTGGGTTGCATTTAATGTAAAACGTGATTTCAAATACTCAGAAGTATAGACTGCTTTTTAAATCACATGTCTTCTGTGGACTTCAGGCTCAGAAACTTAGAAGGGCAAACTCTAAGAAGGTAACTTAGGTTTTGAATAAAGCATTTCTGTGCTCATGGGCCTTGTAATGTTTTGGTAGTTTGTGTTTTGTGGGGCTTTTTGTTGTTGTTGTCTGCTGTGTCTTGTTTTGACCAAACTAATTTATTTTTAGGATCAGCGCTTGATTACGCCTTTGACATTTGCTTTAACATCAGACCATGGAGAGCGGGTCCAAGTGGGGCTTAAAATATTGTTTGAGGTTGCACCCTTACCAGATTTTCCTACTGTAGCGTAAGTATTTTTGTGATACTCTGGTTAGATTTGACATTTTTATGGGGTTAGTGATATTCATGTTTTTTGGACTAGTATTTTCAGCTCATCAGACACAGAAACTTTAGAAAAATTGTCTTGTTTCTGCTTTATGTGCACTTATGAGACCGCAGTGATCCTGGAGGCCAGAGGAAGTCATCGCAGTGTTGATGGTGTTCATTTTATGTCAGATCCTAGAGAACAGAGGAGCAATTGACTCCTGTCCCTGTGCTCATTTGTCTGAAGTCTGTGCTTGGAACTTCGGGTGCATCTGACTGTCAGATTTCTCTCTAATGAACTTTGTCAGGTGTGTCATTCTTGAGTTCCTAAAGCTTTGCTCACCCTTTTGCAGTATCTTCCAAGAAATATTAGGGTAAGACACAGGCAGATGGAAGTTCAAATAGTATTTAAGGTGGTTTAAACAACGGAAAAAGTATTGAGAAACTCTGATGGAGTCCTTATTTCGGTAGATGTAATAAATTACAAAAAAAAAAATTTTTATATAAATATAAAAAATATAAAATTTTAAATTCTATCACAACCTGGAGCTGAACCTTACAGATGTCAAGGGAGCAAGAAAGACCATTACATCAGCAGCAAAAGCCAGACATGAAAATGTATGCCTTTCTGCTTAGTGGAGCAGGAGACCTGTTGACAAAGGACAAGGGAAAAATGGACATACTGAATTCCCAAAGGCAGAGCAGTGTCCCTGAGAGCAATGGGAAAGCCTAGAGGAGGCAATACGTAGTCTGGGTGGCACAGGGTCAGGTTACTGAACATCTAAACTAACTGGGTGTACAGAAGTCCAGAAGACCTGACAGGATGTGCCCTTGAGTGCTTTGGGAGTTGCCTGTTGTCATTCCAAGGCGACTCCAGAGTGCCTTGGAAAATTAGTGCTTATTGGGACAGGTTCCTGAAGACTAGAAGAAAACAAATGTAACTTCTGTCTTCAAGAATGGCAAAGATGATCAGTAGCACCCTGAACTGCACTTGAAAGTCCTGATGACAGGGCAAAGGAGGTGGTCATTCCACCCTCTGCTCAGCGGTGGAGAGACCACACCTGTAGTGTTGTGTCCAGGCCTGGGCTTTCCAGTGCCAGAGAGATATGGACATCCTAGAGTGAGTCTTGTGAAGAGTTTGAGGGATGAGCATGTGGGACTGCACAAGGTGAGACTGCAAGAGCATTTACTTTTGGGAAGACTTGCAGGGTTCTTATCAGTATGTTGAAATGTTTAAAAGAAAGGAACAAAAGAGACAGAGCCAGGCTTCTCAGTGGTATCCACTGACAGGATAGATGTAGGCACAAACTGAAATATAAGGAAAAACCTTTTAGATTTCTTTAAATATCAGAAAAGAAACCCATTTACTGTAAGGTGAGGTCAAACTGGAAAATGTTGCCCAAAGAAGTTGTGGCGTCTTTATCCTTTGAGAGAGTTAAAATTACCAGGCACAGTCCTGCGCAACCTGCTTAAGAGCAGGAGAGTTGAAGTAGGTGGTGTGTAGATGGGTCTCTTGCAATCTTAATTATTCCATAATTATGTGGGTTTGTGGGTATAAGAAGTATTTTTATAGTAGCCAGTAATGAATAGTCTGGCTGAAAGAATGAAGGATCTGTAAAATCAAATATGTCTGGAATTGTACAATGGAACAGCCAAATAACATGTCTATAAATGCAAGCTAAAAATAAGCTATGCTCGCTTAGGAAGCAATTGAGACAGCACTTCAGTGAAGTGGTTGGGATAGCTTAGTAATTAAGGAATTTATCAAGAGCAAAAAATTTATACTGGTGCCTCTAAAATCGGCTCTTGATCTATCATTCTTGTTTGAAACATGTTATTGGTACCTGCTTTGAAAATACCAGCCACAAATTACATACTGACACTTGAATATAGGTGCTGAAATTACTTTTTTCTACGCTTTTGAGTTCTCTTCCCTATACAAATTTAAACAGATTGCATTTTTATCTGCATACTTAAATTTTGGTTAAAACTTACAAAATCAAATGTGTTGTACATGATACAGTATTGTAAAATAGAATTGCAGACAAGGAAAAACTGATGTTTATTGGTTGCACTCTGCCTTTTCTTGATTCAATCTTATTTTTATGCCCAGTAGAAATTCTTACTAATGCTTTCTCCATCTTCTTTGATACAAACAGTGGCCTAGTTAATTTGAATAATAACAGGTGAAATAACCTGTTTCTCAGGTTCATAAGAGATATGATCCATTGCTCAAAAAGAGCTGAGCACTATGCCCTTTCTGATAAGATTCTGTATTTGTCTTGAAAGGTTAGCCATGATACATTTTTTTCCCCTTTTTCTGTATCTCTGGGCACTTTGAGCACATGCCCAACACACATCTTCATAAGGTGTGCTAATAAAAATGTGACTGTACATTTGGTTATGAAATCTCATCTTCAGTCCTTGCAATGCTATTTGTGTCATTGATAGCCTCATGTTTATACAGGCTGGGTGAAAGCATTGTAGCAAATAATGCCTACAGACAACAAGAAATGCAGCACAGAGCAAAGAGAATCCAAATGCAGGCACCTGTGACCACCACTACTTCAGTGAGGTGTTCTTCATCCTATCCTTCAAGTAATGACTCCAAAGCTTCAAATATTGAGGAATTAATACAAAAACTTCATTCTGGACTAGAGGTTAGTAAAATTTATATACCCTTGTGAAACATTGGACGCTTTTTTTACTGGAAGGGATAGAAATTAAAATCCAAGTGTCAGACTACCATGTGTGGAACAGTTAAGTTTTGTTTAGATTCCTGTCTGTTTGGAATGTGCTGGTTTTACTGAGCTCCTGAGCAGAATTCAGAGATGCTATGTTGAGCTACACCTGAAGGTATAGAGCTCCTTCCTGAGGGCTCTCTCCAGTGGGTTTGCTCACAGTCATCTCAGCTGTCAGATGCAGAGGCAGGAGCCACGTACAGTCCAACTGCTTAGACTTGCAGGGACACATACAAGGAACCTCCTCCCTCTGCTTCCTAAGAAATAGCCTGTAATAGAGTAAAGACACTGTGCTACTTTAGAAGCACAGTGCATCTCTTGTGTGCCTAAACATGCATACTGACATTCTCCTTTTTTGGCTGTAGCTGACTAGCTTTTGCAGTTCAGCTTTTGTGGCCTTCTTGGAAAGGTGCTGTTATTATTTCAGAAGACAGTTTTTACTTCCTACTGCAGTAACTTGCATTGTAAATGAAACACCCAACTAGGAACCACATACCATGTGCTGCTTTCTGGGCCATCCTGGCAGACACTGAATATATCTCCTCTTTCTCTTTTTTGTTCAAAGCAAGTTAGCTGCTTTGTAGCTGCTTTAGACTGAGAGATGGATTGTTGATTCTATTTTCTTTTGGCTTAAAAGAACAGTATGCAAACTGGGAAAAGGAATAGAAGGCGTCTTGGTAACAGCTTGATATCTGTATGAGTGGTATTGCCTCCAGCCTTAGCTTTGCAACTCTTATCTCTTTGTTGTAACTGATAAAAGTGAAATTCAGAGAGATACCAGTTAGCTAGCAGAGAGCTACCATCTTAGAGAGATGCCAGAATTTCAGTGAAAAAAGTCAGGTGAGTCTTCCTTGGCTTACTTTGTACTCTGCCACTGGATGCTCCCATTGATGGTTCTTTTCAGGACTGCATGACAGTCTGTGGGTGCATTGCTGTGTTTATATTAATGTAAATCAAAGCAAGCACAGGTGCCTGCACAGCACTAATGCAGCAGCTTCACAGTAATGTGACAGATTGAAAATGTGCTTCAATTTTTTTTTTAGGAGAGAAAGTTGTTGATGAATTGTTGAGTGATTCTTTTCTTAGACCTTCTAATTAGTAATTCAAAAACAAAATACACATTCACTTAAAATATCCAGTACTTGAGCTCTGTTTGTGTATTGTGTGAAGCCCAAATGCTTGTAAAAACATAATTGAGAAAACACTTTTCATAGTATCACTGTTCAGAGAGAATGAAGGGAGTTTCATTCTTAGAGCTTTTCTTGGAGTAATTTCTATGTGTTTTAGATATTTTAAGTTTGCAAGTAGGAAAATAAACTACTTGTTTCATACTTTAGGGACAGAAAAATGAGCTGAGAGCTGGAGCTACACGGGGTCTCCTGTTAATTTGCAAAAAACATTCTTACACAGTGGTTCAGGATGGTGCAGGCTTTTCTGTAGATGTTCAATGTATGAACACCTGGTATAGTTTGCACTTGGTTGTGTATCAGCATCTGTGAACAGCTGCTCAGAACTGGTGTTGTAGCAGCACCGCCTAAGAGAAAATACCCTGAAATCACTAAGTAGCATTTTCACTTGACTCAGGCACAGACTTTAATAAACACTTAGGTCTTGTTGTGCCATACATGGTGCATGTCCTCTAGTAAGTCACTGGGTTAACACAGTAGGTTCTGTAGGTCCTCAATAGTATCCTTTCCAGTATCTTAGAAAAACTTTCCTGAGCCTCTTCTCCTAATATGTATGTTGAGAAAGCAACAGAGTATAAACAAGGAGTTTAACCATATGCATTTTGTGCTATTAATCTTAGGGCAGATTATTTTAGGTGTCCTATGAGGGGCCTGCTAATTCTCCAGTGAAGATTGGACCAAGGGGAATAATTTTAGAATGGTGATTTTACCTTTTTATAGTGCTGGACTGATAGTCTTCTGCAGATGAATCCTATTAAGTCTAACCAGTTCAACTGCTCACAAACTTTTCTCAAGGGTGAGGTGGATATCTTTGAGTAGATAGCCTCAGATACGAAAAAAGTTTAGTGGCAGGGGGAGTTCACAAAACTACTGAGCTCTTTAGTGACACATTACCTGTGTAAGTACATTGAAATTTCCAGTATTGGTGATTAGAAAACGTTTCCACAGATGAAGGAGCCCTTGGCTGATGTGAGGATATCTGATGTAATGGATGTCTACGAGCAGAAGCTGTTAGCGTTAGCGGTGAGTACGGCCTAATGTGCATGGGATGCTGCAGCTGGTACTTTCAGAAAATGTTAATGAGAAATGTTCTCCCTGTATACAGTCTAAAGAAACGAGGCTGCAGGATCTACTGGAAGTAAAGGCAGTAGCTCTGGCTCAGGCTGAGAGGATGATGGCTCAATACCGGTGTCAGAGAGCCCAGGCTGAGTCTGAGGTAAGTAGAGAAGCTTCAAGGTGGAAGTGAGTAATGGTTATCTGGGTGGCTTTAACTGTGATCACATGTGAAAACTATACTGCTTATCTGTAGGCTGTGCTTGCATGTTAGGGCAAGTCCTAATTGCAAGTTCACCATGAACATCCTGTTTTCCTATGGACTGTTCTTTGGCACAGCTTTCTTTAATGTCCTTTCCCTTACAGGAAGTCAACAAAACCAACCTACTCTGCTCCTTATAATTTGTTAAGCATTAGTGATAATTCAGCAATATTAAAAAGTAACAAACCCATTTACTAGAATTCTCTATCAAATTTGCTGGTATATAAAGGACTGTTTCCTGTTTGTGCCATTTGATTCACCGGTCAGAGATGAACTTTCAAATAAAGCTTGCTTTTGTGGGGTCTGTATTTGGGCTGCACATTGAAAGGTGAGAATAATTTCTATTCTTTAAAGGTTATATCAAAGATTGTGCTACTGGTTACTAAATCCACAGCTAAAATGTATCATCTTATACTTTGTTCTTCCCTCTTCCCTCACATTGTCTATAAATGGAGCTAAAGCAATTTAGTGAACCAATTAATTTGTAGTTAATATTAGGTGAGAGAATTTATTCTCTTAATGTAGATAGTGACATTTTGGCGTTAGATTTATGGCCTCAAACATGCCTAATACAACCTGAGAAACAGAATTCCTTTTAATGTACATGGCTTTTTTTTTCTTTTTATTTGGGGGTGTCTTTCCACTCAAAGGCAAGAACTCTTGCTGCAATGCTGAAGGATGCAGAACGAAAAAATGAAGAGCTTAACGATTTGCTGAAGGCTCAACAGGTAGAATCTGAAAGAGCACAGACTGATATTGAACAGCTCTTTCAGCACAACAGGAAATTGCAGGCAGTTGCTGAAGAACATGAAATACTAAAAAAATCCACTCTTGATCTCCTTCAGAGGTAAGACATGTAGGATCTCTAAACAAGTATTTCATATGAAAAGAATTCTGATGTCCTTTAATGTGCTAGGCACATTAGAAGAGCAACATTACATGGTGTGTCATGTTTTTAAATGAAAAGTTCATTCTTTTTTCTTCTGTATGCTTGTCAATAAGGTCTTTCAGTTTCTCAAATTATGTTACATTTAACATACTTTAATTTATTAATGTATTAACATTCAGCTTTCAGTGGAATGAGAACTGAATTGTAGGTGCTGAAGGTCCAGTTCATGCAACAGCACAAGCTTTGTGTAAAAAGAGAGCATTGTTCTCTAGGACACAGAACTAACAATACTTAGTTTCTGTTCACATTATACCATGCTCTCAGTGTCTCTCTTTGATCTTACATGCTGTCTTGATGACATGCTTGCAAGAGCTCTGGAGAAACAGCCAACATCAGTGTGTTTGCGTAATGTAGGACTTGACATTGTTGGTCAAGTCTCTACCAAATTTGACTTAAATTAGGTAAAAGTGAGGTATGGAGGAAGGAGACACATTGTGTGTCCTGAATTATTTATTAGTATTTTTTCATTTGGATCTTAAGCTAAAAAGAATATGTGAGACACGCATAGTACATAAAGATAGAAAATATTAGAAATTTGAATGTGCTTTGGAGGAATAAAGGCTTAAGAGAGCTTTGACTTCTCAACTCACGAGCTGACACTAGGTGTCAGCAAGGCAAAGAAACTGATGACACTGAGATCAAGTTTCTTGCTTAATAACAGGAGCAAGCATTAGTATACAATTTTGAAAGCATGTTGCTGCCAATAAAGGAGTCATTGAGGGAGGAAAATGTATAAAACTTTTTTCCATTACTAGATTTCTTGAATAAGTGTCTTCACTGTGGAAGTGCCTCCATTTTTGCTTGAATTGTAGGCAGTCTTACACTTTGTGAACATGTATTGTCTAATTCACTGGAAATAAATCAGCCTCTCTCTAGTATCTAACAGTTTTAAATTCTGCAGGCTAGGAACAAAAGTTTCTAATCCTTACAATGTGTTTCTAAAGCAAAAACTTACTTTTTAAAACAGCCTTCATACTTCAAATATGCTGTTTCTTGAAAACAATCATTTAACTGACACCAGGGGATAGAATTTGCCTTTGGGTAGGAAGGTAGGATAATGTTTGCTTAGAGCATGAAATCTGCCTCATAAGCCTGTATTAATTACACACCGCATTGTCTTCAGTATATTCAGTGTTTAGTATCACAAGACAAGATCATAGATTAGCTTAAAAGGTCCCTTAAAAGATGGCTGACATACACAAACTGTTATAGATTAGCTCTTTGCAAATTTCTAAAGGTATTTATAGTTTTGTTAATTCCTAAAAGTTTTTGCTGGAAGGAAGTTGCTTCCTGATCATTAATACTTCAGGATATGTAAGGGATCCTCTGAAGCTTGGCTGGTTTGTTTGTCTGTCTGTTTTCTTCTGAGTCAAGCATTGGAACAAGGTTAGTGGCCGAGTCACCATCCCTGGGGTATCTAAAAGATGTGTAGATGGAGCATTTAGGGACATAGTTTAGTGGTGGACTTGGCAGTGCTGAATTAATGGTTTGACTCAATGATCTAAAGGGTCTTTTCCAAACTAAATGCTTGTATGATTCTAAGTATGTTGATTTAAAAAGAATAAACCCAAAACATCTAACACACTAACAGCCAGTTGTCACCAAAAAGCTCTCAGCTGAACACCTCCCCTTCCAAAAAACACCTTGCTTGTCACTTGAGTGGGATGATTGCACAGATCATATCAAATATTATTTGGCAAAGTATTAAAGTAAAAGCTCTCTTCAAAACCAACATTATTTCATACTTACATTTCATTTGTAGGCATGAAACAACTGAAAGACAATATAAAGATCTACAGATTACATGCAATTCACTAAATAAACAAGTGGAAGCAATGATGAAACTAAATGAATCACTCAAGCAGCAGAATGACAGATCAGTTCAGTCTTTTTAAAGCAAGTGAAACAGTAAAACTTAATAGCACTTTAGTCTCAGTTTTTCAACTGTGCTTTAACTAATATTGAAGAAGTGAAGTTAGCCAAAAATGCTTCAGGGTTGGTTTATATATTTATTTTTTTAATGAGAATCTGTACTATTGATTTTGGTTTATTTTATTTACTTCTTAATTGGTTGGAGCAATTGGTGAGGGAATATCAACAGACTTCAGCAATAGTAGGAAGGGAAAGATGATGACCCAATTCTTAGGTGCACTTGGGAGAGTGTGGAGGTGTCATTTTGGTTGTCATTGAATTCCTAAATGCTTTTGTCATGCAAAAATTTCCTTGTATTTTCTTTTAGCCTGCATGTTTTCTCTTAATGGTGTCAAGTTGGAAAAAAAACCCCATAACAACCAACCCTACTAAATGAACACATTTGAAAGTTATATTAGAAGTCATGATGGGTAGTATTCTGCCTGTGGTATAAAACATCTTTTTCAACTATAAAACTAGCATTACCTATGTCTTCTTCAAGAATAATTGTAATTTTTCATTTTTGATGGCTTAAAATAGAGGTCTGGTGTACCTTTCACCAATGTAACTAAGGGAATATAGGCTCTACTTTGACAGATTTTATTGAAAACATAATTTTCAGAAGATGTCTTTAAAATATATTCATAGGCATGCATTGTATTAAATTGAGAAATAAAATGGTTTTACTTGGAAAGTTCACTTCACCCTTCCAGGCTCTTGCCTTGTCAGTAATCAGAGCAGTCCAAATCACTGAGTTCTGATTCAGATGGAAAATTTTCATACTGATACATCAGTTTGCTACTGAACAAATTTGGCTGCTTACATAGAATGGTGCAATATGCAGCTCAGGGTAATTGGGGAGACATTCTGATGAAAGCTGACCCTTGTTAATGCCAGTCTGGAGGAGCAGTTTATTATATAGATACTCTTGAACTGCTACTGAAATGGAGACACTGGAAATATACATCCCTCCTTCTTGCTAGAGGCTGCAGCTTAGAAACTGGTAGATAGGAAATGGATAAAGAAGTAAACAAAAGTGACAGCGGATGCCATCTAGGCTTGGCAAGTAGAATATGCCTTAGAAATTAGTCTGGCTGGTAATGGAAAAAGTAGATTAGCTTCAGAGTGTGTCAAGTGCTCATGTTAGAGCTGTACTGCTGGTAGATGCCAGTGCCTCTGTATTAAATGAGTGTGGAAACTGAGGATTACCCAAACTAGTGAGACCTGAAGCAGGCCTGTAGAAAAGCTTTGGCACTGTCTTATGGTGTGGTCACTTTTGAGTGTTGTATGACAATCCAGGAGATGTTCAGAATGGTATTTTTTGTGTATAGATACAGGGATAATACCTGAAACAGGTTTTACTAGTTGTATTGTCTCTTCAGGAGCATAGTAAGAGCTAAAACCCCAGCATCCTTAATCACTAATGGCAGGGAATTTTTACTTGCATTGAATGCCAATTTTGGTTCTGCCACAGCATTTTGAATTATTTGTGGCTGTGATCAAAGGCACTAGTTTCTGGTCTTTGTACTCCAGGTATCAGCCTTTTCAGTAGATCCTACCATGATCAGAGAAGGGCAGTGATTAGGTCATGGTGGCAGGAAGGAAATAAGATCTATTTCTGCTTACACCATGCACATTCAGAGGTTTGATGATTTGAAGCTCTTGACAGGAATAGGAAATAATACAAAATTCATTTTAGTTTCTTAGGACAGGGAAATGGTATCATACCTCATTTTAATAATTAAAATTTATTTCTCTGCACCTTTAGGAATGCTGCACAGTTAGTAGAAAGTGAACATCACAGAAATGAATTACAGCAACAGCTGCAGGAGAGAGATGGCACAATAGCAAGTAAGTCACCTACCTAAAGGTCACTGAAGCTAGAGAACTAACTGTATTAACTAGATGTTGTTATTATAGGCTCTAGATAAGCTGCTATATCTTAATGAGCAACTTGTAAACCTTAAAAGTTGGGCAGAGATACATAATTTAATAGTTGAATGAAACAAATACACCTTTTAATCTTTTAGAAAGCATGCATGAAGTTGATTTCCCAGACTTGACTGAATCTCTGCATATTGTGTCCCTTCAGGATCTTCTTGCAACATGTCCATTAGAACTTACTCTGTATGAAATGCAAATTAGAAGAGCTTAATTTAACTCCCTGCAAATGACTGGAAGCAACCACTAAAATTTAGCAGTAGGTGGCACTACTCATTAATACAATTAGCAGCCATGTTGAGTCTAAAAAAAAAATAATAAAAAAAGCCCCTTGTTTCCCAGGCCAATGCAGTATCTGTTTTCTAAGTTTGGTATCTGGTCTTTTAATGTGTTCATTTTCTTAAGCCTTGCAACAGAATATAAATTTTCTGGAAGAAAAAATAAAAACTCAACAGAAAGAAAAAGCAGATATGGAACAAACTATCGATACTCTTAGAAAGGAATTAAGTGAAACACAACAAGCAAGGGAAGAACTGAGTATCAAGGTAAGGAATTACTTGTGCCGGCATTTCTGAGATTGGAGTTTTAGGTATCTGTTTAATTGATAGAGTTGGTATATCAGTACTGTGGTGGTTAAGTACCTAAAGACCAAGTAGCTGATGGAGTAGTGGACAAGAACAAATTGTCTCAACTTTAATTGTGTACCTCTTGAGTTTTAAGTTAAGATCAAGTTCTAATGAGACTCTGTGTGGCATAGTGTGTGAGTACATAATGTTGGGAAGGGAGAAAACTCACCAAACCAGTGGCATAATGTTAAATAACAAAATGTAACAAATTTGTCTCCAGTAGTTTTGACTACTGAAAATGTCAGTCAGCTTGCTTTCCCTCCCTTTCTCACATTGAATTATGGTACATATGTATGCAGCAAAATGCACCTGGGGTCCTTTCTAGCATTGAAATTCTAACCAAAAAAATATTTATCTCCAAGAAAAGGTGTATTTTTTCAAAAGAGAGATCACTTTAGCTGTACCAAGTCAACAGGATAAAGTTAACAACAACAACAACAACAAAAAAAAAAAAAAAAAACAAAAAAAAAAAAAAAAAAAAAAAAAAAAAAAAAAAAAAAAAAAAAAAAAAAAAAAAAAAAAAAAAAAAAACAACAAAAAAAAAACCACAAAACTAATCTCCAAGCTTCAGTGCAGCCTACATATCCTTGACTGCAAGTAAGACTCCCTCTAAAATCACAAAGCAGAGATTCATTTTACATGCAAACTGATCAGCAAATGCAAAGTGTGTAGTCTGACACCAACTTTTACTGTATTTCCATTTCCTGGAAGCAAAAGCTTAATCTCTTCAGGCAATGTTATCCAGTATATAACAAATACTTCTTTTGTTCTCAGTAAATATTAACTGTTGTGGTGCTTGAAATGAAATGTAGATGGTAGCACAATGATAACAAAGGGGCTGGTGCTTTTGCAGTGTGGCAGTAGCTGTAATCACTCATGTGCACCAACTGTACAGCTGAGGGAGATTTCTGAAACAATCTTGTCATTTTAAAGCTGCTTTTTAAATGTGTGCTTAAGTTCACTCAGCTCTCACTGTATTATGTGTTTTTCAGTTGGTAATAGAGGAAACTATAACATTTTGTTTGTACCTGCAGGCATCTTCTCTGGAAGTTCAGAAATCCCAGTTAGAAGAATGCTTGGCAGAAAAAGAAACGCTCATAAATCTGCAGAAGGAAAAATTGGACATACACGCCAGCGTGATTGCAGCAATTCACAAACTAAGTGATGGCAAGCAAAGTGCAGAAATAGTGAACCTCAGTCTGTAGGGCTCTCTTTCCTGTGCTTTATGTATTCTGTTAAGTGAGCTAAATTATAGGGCTGTCTGCCAGCTTTGTATACAGCACATGCAGTTTGGTTGCCTTTTTACATAATGCAGTTATTGCTTAGAAAGGTCAGCAACGAAACAAAATGTTATCAGAGCTAATGAATTAAGGGGTTTTGTTGGAGTTTTGCAAACTCAGTTAGGAAAGAAACTGTCAGTGTGATGGGTTAAAAACTTTTAGTGTCAAAGTAAATTTGCAGACATGGGTGCTTTCTTTTTAAATGTCTTGGTCATGGGGAAGGAGTAAATAAATGTTGGGAGGGGTTTTGTTGTTTGGGGTTTTTTCCTGCTTTTCTACCAGAAAGTGCTCAAGTAAACAAATCTCAGTTAGGAAAGAAACTGTCAGTGTGATGGGTTAAAAACTTTTAATGTCAAAGTCAATTTGCAGACATGGGTGCTTTCTCTTTAAATGTCTTGGTCATGGGGAAGGGGTAAATAAATGTTGGGAGGGGTTTTGTTGTTTGGGGTTTTTTCCTCCTTTTCTGCAAAATCTAGTAGGAAATGCCAAGCATGTTAATCACTAAATCTATAAATGCCAGTTTGACTTTGTCAAATGGTGGAATGGGAGGGAGAAGACATCAAACTGCTCACCAGAGTAAGGTGGCAATAAGATACTTGTCTGCAGAAAATGGTAAATTAATCTTTAGCATTTATGTGACAGAATCCAGAGTGTATAAATATTGATTTTATTTTTCCCCACCAGAAAAATGTACTGTTTCAATATGCTAGTCTAAGCCAAGTGTAGCTGAACTCAGGGTTGCATAGAAAATAAATGCATGAACACATCAAGATATTTTGACAGCATTTCTGTGTTCTTTTGTGGCAGTTTTTTTCCAAATGGTAATGAATAATGGCTAATGGAACAACCAGATAAATTGACGTCTGTTTAAAATTTAATTTTAAAAAGATAATATGTTACTCTTTACGGTAAAAAAAAACTGGAGATTTTTGTACTTAATTCATGCAAAGAAATACCTGTGTAAGGGGTTTTGCTTTTAGGCATCAAGATATTACCCGTTCTGTAATCAAAACAGTTCTGTAATAAAGTTCCCAGTGCTGTTTTCATATTAATGTTATGTGCCTTATCCACTGTGCTGTCAGACTTTTTTTCCCTTTCCCCACAGGCTCTCTCATTTAGTGCAGGGAGTAGCTGGCACCAAAAATAACTCTGCAATAGTCGATTTTTAATTATCTGAGTCGTGTCAGGTTGTCAATTGCATGTTCTACAAGCAGAGACTTTTGTGCTGTCTTAGTTCTGAGTACCCTCACATCTCAATATAGAGGACTCCAGTACTTCTTATCTGAAAGTAGCTGCCTTTTATTCTGCATAATCTGGAGAAAGTTTTCCATTTAAATGTAGTTCTATATGGCTTTGTATGTTATTTCATTAATGCCTAAAAATACCCTTAAACATGTATTTATTTTTTTGTACTATGTGTTTTCTGTGCTGTCTATTTCACTTTTGGTGTACTTACTGGGAATAATGACACAATAAAGGGTTTGGAGTTGATGCTCTCCAATTCATCACCTGTTGTGTGTTGTCTTCATTTTGGCTCTCCTCTTTAGTCTAGACTCTGCATCCTTTGATCTTTTGCTATTTCACTTCTGGTGGTTTATTTTAGGCTTTCATTTTCCCTTTATTCTCCATCTCTTCACCTCTCTTTCACCACTGATTCCAACTGACAGTGCCTACCATTTTCTTTTCCCTGGTGAAATCTCTTCTATTGAAATTAGGAAGCTTTCCTTGTGTGCTGATTGGATCTATTAGTAGAGTCTTTTCCACCCCTGGGATAAAACAGTCTGTGGAATGGTACTCTTACTTTTGAATTAAGTCAAATTGATCATCCTCACCCTACATGGAAGATGAAATGCGAAGTTTTACCTGAACCAATTCCCAGTTTTCATTGTCCTTCTCACCCCATACTTATCTCTACTATAAACAAGGGAGAGATTTTTATTAGTAGTGGTGGCCAAAATATCTGTGCTGGGGTATTGTGCTGGTACATGCAATTTCATATAGACAAAAAACCTTCCTCACCCCATACTTATCTCTACTATAAACAAGGGAGAGATTTTAGTAGTAGTGGTAGTAGTGTGGCCAGAATATCTGTGCTGGGGTATTGTGCTGGCACATGCAATTTCATGTAAGCAAAAATCCTTTTCCTCCCAACCTTGTGAAACTTCAGCTGGAATTTTCTTCGCTTCAGGATTAAGTTAATATCCTGCAGAAACAGTAGGAATTCAGAGCTTTACAAACTGAAAGCATGGTCTTGCTGGAGGAAGTAGAAAGTGATCCTACATGTAAGGGCTGGTAAGAAGGCCTGTTGAAAACAATCTAATGAACAGCTGCTGGGATCTTGGACAGATTTTTCAGGAAGTACTTAGTATTAATGGTGACCAGTAGGATTTATTTAGTGATGGTGTAAGCAAAACAAAATTCTGAATAAAGAAATCTAGAAATCGCTTATGCTACAGATTCAGCAGTGCTGAAAGTGATAGCTGCTGGTCAGGATTTATGCCAGCTCTCTTTTATGTTTACAGTTTTCCTGATTCAAACATGTCCTGACATGTCTAGAATTATCTAGCAGTGCACTTTTTTGGAATAAGTGGAGGCCAAAAGTGGGACAGACTCCACTGAAATTATGACACCCAACTTTACAGGTTTGGTTCAACATTCTTGTGAAGATGTAAGAAGAGGTTCTCTGCTCCTTTTTCTTAGAGTTTATTGTTAGCAGCCAAAGATGAGGTATTTTTAGGCCAGTACTTATTTCTCCAAAAATGCTTTCAACCTTGCAAAGTTGGTTTATATATAAATGAACTCCTCCATGCATTCCCATCTGGTAACAAATCTTCAGATTTGTTCACTGAAGCATGCTTCCTTTCCATCTCCCTCACCAATTTCCCTGCTGCAGAGCGCTGAAATTGGGAACAGTCTGCTAGCTTTATGTCCCCAGTGACACATCCTTTTCTCTCTACCCCAGTCCAATCTAAATTGGATCCTCTCCTAGGAGTACAGAGAAATGAGGGGTAAATAGGCTGAGTGATACCACACTGAAAGCTGTATAGCTGTTGATGTAAATATCCTGGGAGCCCCAGACCATGCCTGACAAGGGCCCGGTGCTTCCCCACCTCCTAAATGGCAGTCTGGGTTCTGCTCAACTGTATCCAAGAGGGCATCCATGTCAGAGCAGATGTAATAAGGTAATGTGAGTCTCCTTTTTATGCCCAGCCTCTGTTTGAATCTGCTGTGCCTGAGGTTCTCATGGGTGCAGTACATTAAACCTTTCCTAAGGAACAACCTCGTGTCCATTCTGACATGTTGCCCTTTGACCTGAGATTGCTTGATGCTCTTGGCTGCAGAGCTGCTGGTTAGCTGGAAGATTTTGTCTTGTTGTGAATGATTCCTGTACAGGGCAGTTACTAAGAGCCAGCTGGGTCCATGTATGTGTTTCATGCTCAGCATTATAGCTAAACCTCTCTGTGTTTCCTCTTATGCCTGCATGACTTTGACCATATGACTTTTTAATTGAGCTTGCAGTTCAAGTGCAGAAGGTGGAGTTCGGTTTAGTTGGGATTTTTTATGGCCATTAGTTTTTTGTGTAAAAATGGGAAGTAAGTTATGGGATCTCTTATGTGATAGTCAATCTTCCTGACCCGTTATTTCTGGGCTGTGTTGGGTGTCGAGCAAACATTGCAGCCACTTTGCCAACAATAGATTTGGCTTGGTTACAGAGGATGTGTTTGGAAATGGAAATATGCAAACTCTTGGTGCTTAACTATTAAACCTTTGGGGGTTTTTTTTGTTTGTTTGTTTATTATTTATTATTTATATTATATATTATTATTTATTGAAACTTTTGTGGTGTTTGCCCCACTGTCCCAGGAGAAATGTGTAAGGGCATCATTGCATGCTGCATTCCCCTACCAGTATCTTCCCTTCTGAGCAGAAGGTTTGTGGAGAAATCCCTAAAAGGGAAAGGAATATAACAAAACTATTGGTGTACAACTTTCTCATTTAGGTATCCTTATGTATTTTCAATACATAAGAGACAAACAAAAAAGGTGTTGAGGGTAAGGCACCTGGCTGTGAGGAAGGGTCTCTGGGTTCACCTCCCACAGAACTGAAGTGTGGCAGTGCAGGCTCTGGCCTAGCTTGGAAAATGGACTGCAGAGACAAAAGGGACCACAGGCCAGACAAGGAGTCTTAATGGCAATAGGAAATATTCAACCTCTTTGTATCAACTGAGCATCATTGTAAAACTGAATCCAAAGCTGCTGGGACAAAGGCTGAGCATTTGCATGACCTTGAGGAAAGCAGGTAGTGAAACACTTTATTTGGTGTATGGAGGCAGGAGGGAAGAAAGTCCAGAGGATCTAGAATGTATTTGGATGTGAAGTGTCTTTTCAGCCAGTACCCAATCTCAGTCCTGACACAGCATACTGTACATGTGTGATACAAAGCTCCAGGCGTTCTCCTTAAATAAAGAAGTGACAAGCCAAGGACAGCATGTTACCTGGGAGCAGCCATTGTACTCTTGTTGCTTAGATGGACTTTGAAAGCACTGGTTGCTTGCAGGGCATTAAAACATCTTTTCCTTCTAAAGTTCTGCATCAAAAATGATCAGTGTTTGAGAAATGTGATGGAGGTGGCTTACACATTCCTTCTTGCAACATGGCAAACCTAGGGAGACAGCACAGTTTTGTTTGTTTTTCTGAGACATTTCCAGCATTTCTTGTACTCTGGGATAAGTAAAGAAGAGAGTACACAGAAAGGGGAGATTGTGTCACCAAATCCTAAGACAAGAGTGAAAAAACTCACAGATTTCTTTGCCTGTATCATAGTTGACTGCAGTTTTCTTTGAAAGTGGTTGGCTCATGTTACAGAGACTCTAGTCCAGGCTGTGAGTTTTCACTGAATAGGCACTGATTAAATTCCAGAGGATCTTGTGGGTGTTTGAAAAGGTTATCTCTGCATTCAGAACAAGCACCTCCTACTGACCTCATAGCAGGGATGGCCAGCCCTTGATTTACCAATATATAGCTAAGCCTTTAAATGAGAGAACAAATACTGTACTGGTTAAATGTTTCTTTACAGTAACCGAGCTAACAACAATCTGGCTTAGGTTTTTTACCATGTATTAAGTTATTAAAAACTAGTTTTGTAAGCAAACAGCTCTTGTTTTGACTCAGTTTTACTTCAGAATAATCTATCTGCATGTATTTTTTGCTTATATTGATACTCAAATATTTAATTTCACCTATGCTTTACAGTTTAGCCAGGATGTCTTATAAGGAAATATAAGGCTATTGTAATTTAAAGAGCCAGAGGCTACTGATGAGCCTGATATTAATAGGAGAAAAAATCCAGTGGTGATCAGTTGCAATATATTTTGTTTAATCTTGATTGGAGTGTAGGCACCATCTCTGCTTGCTCATGTGTCATGGTGAGTGCCTTAATTGTTCCTCTTTTTATCCTTTGATACTAAAGGTGAGGAAAGTATATTTGGTGTATTTTTGTCATGTATCTAGTAATTGGAAGTGAATCTACTTTTGAAAGAAGCATTTCATTTTCTTGTGTATATTCATGATGAGGTAAAACAATGTGAGTTTTGTTGTGGCTTTCTAAGGCAGTGGGAAATTGCAGAGTTCTTGTGTTCATTTCAGTATTAGTTGAGTGTTTTTCTTCAACACCAAAAAACTCAGAATATGCTTTGAGGCACTGTGGTATTGCTTTAGTTATGTTCTGCAAAGACCAAGCACATGCCCTCATGCCTTTCACTATCCAAGGCAAAAGTTATTTTTGGGGGAGGAGTGTGTATAAATATTCTGGGAAACAGCATCCTTTCTGGTTAGCGTCTTGGCCAAATCGCTCTGTATTCTTAGGCAAGGTGTGCTGAGATTGCACAGTCTCTGGGCTGGCTGATATGTGCCACCCTCCCTGCTGTTCTCTGTTCTCCACCCTCCCACCCTCTCTTTTCTCCCAGAGAGGTTAACAGGCTGCTCTGCTCTGGAGTGCCATGACAGAGGCTTCTCCTGCCTCTCCCTGCGTCAGCAGAACAGGGCGACACCATGTAGCTGCTCAAAGGCTGCTGCTGCTTAGATGGTGCTCAAACACTCCCACAGGAATGGCATGAGAGTGTCAGGGAGGTTTAGGTTGGATATTAGAAAAAGGTTCTTCCCCCAGAGGGTGGCTGGGCACTTGAACAGGCTCCCCAGGGCAGTGGTTGCAGCACCAGCCTGAGAGAGCTCAAGAATCTTTGGACAATGCTGTCAGGCACAAGGTGAGACTCCTGGGATGTCCTGTGCAGGGTCAGAAGTTGGACCCAGTGATCCTTGAGGGTCCCTTCCAGCTCAGCATATTCTGTGGTTGTGTATGTGCAAAGATATGCCTGCCTGCAGCTATAAAACCCCAAGATAGAATCTGTAATGTGCAGCCTTTCTCAGTCACTCATTTCTGTGAGGTGCTTACTGTTGCAGTGTCCACATATAATTGCCTTCATGGTACCAAGATGAATTGGGGTAAACTGCTGTTTTGGGGCTCCTTGTGTGAAAAGCTGAAAACCTCCATTTGTTACTCCATAGCACTTCACACCTGCATGTACAAGTGTGCTTTCCATCGCTCCAGAGGCTGGTTCTGGTGGCTTTCCTCTCAGCATTTCCATGCAAATTAGGGGTTTCAACCTCTAGCCACATAGCTCAGACAACCAGTTATGGTAGTTGTCTGTCTGAAAGTTGGTGTAAATGGCTTGCTTGCCATCACACAGGAACTTTGTAGTGAAGCCTCCTGGCATACTAATGCAGCAAGCAATTACTTGAATCTTAAAAATCATCTTTCTTTTCCCACTTCTGAGTCATACAGAAGGCAGCTTCTGCAACAGAGTGGAAAGGGACAAGCAGACAGCAGTCTCCTTCACCACCTGACTCTGCCTTCCTCCCCACGAAGACCTATCTCATATGCAGAATGAGGCAGAGCCCCCAGGGGAAAAATAGCATCTAATCACAGCACTGGAAACAGAGTGTTTATGCACACAGGTGCTGGTGCGAGGTCACACAGCCTCCAATTTGCATTCTATTTCTGAAGCCTGGAGTACTCAAATGACTTTTTTCCTTCCCTCTTTCCCTCCTGCTCCCAAACCTTGTTTATTATATATCTAACTACTCAAGGCCTGATGATTCTGTCATCTTTATTCATAAGTTGGTGAGAAGAAAAGATAGAAGCTAGACCTAAGCTACAGTCAGGATTTTATTAGCTTACCAACTCTGCTTACAAGGGAGGATTGCGAGTGACCATTGCTAGAGGGTGAAAAGCCTTTTGGCTAAGCCCAAGCAAATGCAAGTCCTGAGCTGCAGCTCTCCAGGTGATGGCTTTGCTGTTTGTTGGAAGGTAATACTTGTTAAAACCCCTCTATCTTTCCTTATTATCCTGTTGAGATAAAGCTGAGGTTTTATGTAAATAAGTCTAAGAGGGAAAGGGTTTAAAAGTAAAGTCTTAGTGTTTAAATCTGTAAGAATTTTACCACTATGTGTGATGCATGTAATTTTAAAGCTATTACACTACAGCCATGGATAGATGGATGTAAGAGTGGAGGTTGCCCTACAACCTAAGAAGCATGGGGCTTGTCTTACACAAACTAGAGTGTCCCCTACACCATCACCTCCCCAGAGTTCTTCCACTTCTCAGAACTTAAGGTTGAAAGTAACTAAAGGAGTGATAGAAGGAATGGTCCTAATCTTTGGGAACTATTTTCCATTCATGGAAGTGTGATAACAATTTTGGATCGGGTAGCTGAAGTCTGGCATTAGTCTCTGTCTGTTGTTCTGTGATAATATTTTCCTGGGTTTCTCCCAATGTCATTAAACATCATCAGTCCCAGGAAAATCTAACAAGGACAGTGCTTGGATGAGAACTCTGGTGGACTGAAATATTAAATGATGATCATTCCTAGCACTGGTAGAAACTGGCAATTTTTTGTTGGATAGTTACACTCATGCTTCACAGCTCAGGGATTCCATGAGCTACTGATGCCAGCTGGGCTTTGGTAAGTTCTGGGCTCAGACATTTAGGTCAAACCTGTTTTACTGCTGTCTAAAATAGTTGATTGCATATGGCCAGCTTCCCTTTCATTCAGTAAAGTACTGTGTAGCAATTAAAAATATCACAATAGCTTTAGGCTTTTTCTTGGTCTCTGCATATATTCTTCTATGCAGAGGTCTCTGTAACCTCTTTAGGGCTTTCTGGGGAAGGAAGTGAGATTTTTTTACAGGTCTGTAGTCTAAACTGCCATATGAATTTTTTAGTTTATATATGAACACTATTTACCACAGAGAGCTCAACAACTAAAGTAATACTTGCTGCATGCCCTTTTGAGGTAATATTTGCTGCTTGGCTTAGTTCTTTAGAGTACAAGTGTTCTTCCTTCTTTGCAATGTTTTTGTGTCCATAAACGGCCAGAAAGGATGTGTTTATTTTTACCCGTTTAGAAAGGGATAAAGCTTAGATCAGATCTGGGACTTGAGTTCAGCACTTGAGTAGCAACACTTACAAAGGCTGATCGAGACAAGTGAAATTGGATTTTGTTATCTTGTGTTAAATGCTCTGGCATGCTCATATCTTTAGAGCATTAAAAGCTAAATGTCCTCAGATTCAATATCCTTTAGGCAGGAGAAATGCTAATGTGAATGTTAGCTACAAGCCTATTTTGCTATGAAACTCCATGAACTCATTGAAAATGTTTTTTCCAACATCTTAAAACTATTAATACCTTGACTAAGAAATTTGTTTGGGGATATTACTGCACAGTGATGATGCATTTTTAATTACCCTGCCTAGGAAAGAGAATATTGGCTGGTTTATAGAGACTCAAGTGGGTTGATAAGTGTGTAACAGATGCATGTGACATGTTGGAAATCTACTTACAGAACAATAGCCAAGGTCACTCCTTGTCATGTCTGCAGTGTGTGGCAGAACTGCAGAGCCAGTACTCCTTCTCTTCCAGACAGGAGAAATGTGAACTCCTCTTCACAGAGCCACGCATAAATGGATTGCCTTCAGAAGAGGAAGACTCGGTGGCAGGAGCTGGTTACTATGGCTATATGCATTGCTCACTCTAAATGAAGGCATCAAGCCAACAATCACTGTATATATTAGCTATATTTGTATATGAGGGAAGCTCATAGCCAGCAGCTGTGTGAAGGTGTTGTGATGAAAATCAACTTGGCTCATGCCAGTCAAGGACTTGGTGACTTTCATGCCTTTAAAGCAGCACAGACTGAAAGCAGCAAAATCTATGCACCATGGGATCAGGTCTTTTGTCCTCCTTAAGCCTTTGTTTTGTTCTACAGAAAAATTGCTTCTTTTCTGTACCCCTGGTGATCATAGAACAGCCCAGGTAGGAAGGGACCTGGGAAGATCCTCTGGTCCATCCTTTCATGGGAAAGGGAGCTCAGGTGGGATTGTACAGGACCTGGTCCAATCACATCCTACAACTTTCCAGCAATGGGGTCTCTCCTCTGTTCCTGGGGTGGAAATAGCAAATCATGATTCTGGCTTGGAAATTATGGAGGTGCTAGCAAGCCTGGGCTCTGGGATACAGAATATGATAGGAACAACTCCTCACTGTGTTGGCTTCATAGTCCAGCCTGCAGCCAGCTACTGATTTGTTGGGCTGTCGTTGGAGCCACTTCCCCTTTGTCAAATGACATTAGAAATCACCAGAGAAGACAAAAGTAGTTGTGGGTGGTGAGACATCTGTAGTACAACCACAGCCTTATTTTTGTGGCTTACAAATTTAAAGTCCTTTGCCTTTCCTTTTTGAAGATACCCACTGGAGCTAGAGTTTCTGTGGGGTACCTAGCAAATTTTGTTGCAGGGTGGATGTCGGAGGCAGCCATTGGTTTTTCCCTATACCCAGTGCTACACAAAGAGGTATTTGATATGTGAGGGGTTAAGCCAAGGCTGTTACCACCAAAGGCTTGCTGAAACTCTTGTTCCTTTCTCCAGTGCCCAGATTTTCATGCAAGTGGGAGCAGTGGACTTGGGAACGCTCAGGAGGTGATTTGTAGCACACAGCCCAAGCCGATGGAGCACTTCTATTACCTGCTGTCACTTGTAATTCCACTGTTAAGGCTGAAGAGGGTTTTGCACTTCAAACAGGGGCTGGATCTTTAATCCCAATGGAAAATAGAGCATATTTGCTGCAGATGTAAAAGCTTGCCTTTTAAAAATGAATTAGGTTGTTGCAATCTACAAATATTTTAATTAGCCTGAGTTCAAATTAATTAAAAACTGTCATTTAAAGAATTAAGCGCTTGCAGGTTTTACAGAGTTTTGAATTATCTTAATGGAATAAAAAAAGACACTTGGAACTTTCCATATAATTAAAAATAATTGAAATCTTCTGCCTGCATGTATATTAATCAGCTAATAATTAAGCTAAGTTATTAGCAGTGGCTGTATTTAATGTTACATCTAGAGTATAGCCTAAAAAATTTTAACTAGTTCCACCATGAAACTGGAAATAATGCAATTTACCACCATTCTTCTGCAGTGGCTGGGATGTCACTCTTATGGGAGAGACAGAGAACACACAGACTTTCACTGGTGAATTAGCTGTGTCACTTAGCTTTAGTCTTGAAAAGTTAAATGGCTTAATGGTTGAATGGCTTGCATGTTTCTGCTTGAAATGTCCCCCATGCCACTGAGACCTTGTCTGCTGCTGGGAACGAGGGAGAACCCCAGAGAACATTTGGTGCTGGTAGGATCCCTCCAGCATTTCTTTGTATATGTTCTCCCTTTAGTGAAAAAAATGCCCTAATCCATATTAAAAGCCAAATCTGTGTGGAATGGGCTGCTTTGTGCAAGGTTTCAGTCAGGCAAACCAGGCGCCAGCCTCTTTAGAGTTTGGTGGCTGCTGGCTGTCTTATGCTTCTCCAGTGGCTCTGCCCTTAAAATAGCACTCTGCTCCTCCAGAAGGAACCCCAGCTGGTGCCTCTCCTTCAGTCTCCACACAGACATTTTGAAATAGGAACTTCCTGGAGGGGAGGGAAAAAAGCCAGATAAAATGAAGGAATGCTAGTGATTACTCATTCAATAAATCCAGAAAGGTGGAATCAGCTCTAAAAAGGTTCGTAGGAATACAAACAGATCCCTTAGTCACAATCTGTCCTCACTGTGCCACAACACGAAGACTTTTTGAAGACTGTAGCTGCCATGTTTCTTATTTCAATTCAGTTAATCATCTCTTAATTTCCTGGATTAGTGATGCTTGGTTGGAGGCTATTGGAGGCAACATATTTGTCATATTCCTAACTGTTATTCTGTCCTTAATATTTTACTTCAAGCTGAGAACATAAATGCTGGGCTGGATTTACTTAGACTGGCTGATCAGAAATACCATTGGTGTGGGAGGATGGTATATATCCTCTCTCTATATGTATTTTTAATATTAATGATCTGTTCTTATCATCAGTTCACACAGATTTTTCAGCTTTTATTTAAGGACTCCAATCCTTTATGGCTAGGAAGATATTCTCTTAGCAAGTACTGAATTCCTTTTTTTCTTGATATTTGAGATTACCAAAGAAACTCTGATAAACATGGCAAGTGCTGATTCTTGTCAATTATGTCAGTGCTTAATATCTTTTGTCAGGTTGCAGCAGCAACCAAGGTGAAGTGTCCACACTTGTTTCATTGAGGGTTTTTTTGGGGGGAGGAAGGGGATATCTTTGAAGACAATAATGAATAAAGGAGGAATAAGATTGAAACAAATCTCTGCTAGCTATTCTTTTTTGCCCCTATCTGGTTGTCTTGGTTTGTAAAGGTGGAGCCTCAAGCAATGAGGTCTGTTGGTGTTCTCCTTCAGCCTTTCCCCTTTCCGCAAGCCCAAGAAGAGAAAGGTGTGAAGGGAGATCACACGTCACCTCCTAGACCATCTTGTCCTTAGGTGAGGGCAGGGAGGGAAAGGAGGTGACACTAAGGGAAACCAAATGCTCTGAATTTGCTCAGGTATGGCTGAATGACTGGTTTGGATTTCCTTGGAATGCCCCCACTCCAAGCAGCCGCAGTGGCTGGCCCCCCGTGCCCCCACACACACGTGCTCCCTGTGCTCAGCTCCTTGCTGCTGGACTGGACAGTGGGACACAGACAGGAACCCCATCCAGTGAGGGAGCACAGGGCCAAAATGCCTTTCTATTGCTAATACCTCTGCACTTCTGGCTCTGATAACATTGGTAGGAGACACTTACAGGAGACAACAGGATTATGGCAGGCGTTGCTGAGTCCCAGAGCTTGGCTGTTGTGAAGGCACTCAGGCCACCCTTTTTTCCATGTCATGACTTTATCAGTGATTCAGGGTCAGAGCTGTGGAGTTCATTTCAGCAGAGCCACATGTGACATGCCACACATTGTTACTGCTAACAAACAGGCTGTGGTATTGGGAATAGGGACAGTGTGGAAGGTTCTGTTTCATTTGTCCTTTTGGACCTCCTCCCATAAGCCTCATACTTTTTTTTAAACTGTCATTAAAACACATCTTGAGTCAGTAGCCTGAAAGACTGTGTCCTTTCTGGTTAGAAAAATATTTGGGTTTGAACTTTGAACTTCATGGATATGCTATGAAAAATCAGTAAGACCAGTCTTCATTGCATGAGTATGGGACGGAATGGTGCCTACTACGTAAATGTCATTTGGTTTATTATTTCTGGGGAATGGATCTGTACATCTGCTTTCTGATTAGTTATCCTGTTGAAATAAATTCAGCTCACTGGTGTCATACTTTAATGGGCATGCTTTTTATTTGACAAGGTACAGACATCCTGTATGGTACTAGAAAACTGTAAGCAGTTCAGGTGTATTCAGGATAGTTTTCCACTTGTTGCAAATAGCTAAAACCCAAGTCTGTGTGTCCAGTGAAGAGTGAGCCAAATCTTCCTTCAGTGTAACTGCAAGTATAAAAGGCATTGCTATTGCCTTTGAATGTATCTACCTATTCTTTTGTGAACAACAGTGCCAATTAGTGCATTGCTCCTTACACGTGCAGCACCTAAAATCTGCTCCTCTCATTCTTCATTCAGAATAAACTGCTTGGGTAAGAAACAACTTGCCATTCATTTTTACACAGGTAAAATCCCTGCTTTTAAAACCAAGTAAGTGTGACAAGGATGACCCATGTGCTGAGAAGCCTGTCTGCCCATGGAGAAGGGTGGGACTTGCTCTGAGGGCACTGTCAAATTCTTACAGCCCTGTTGCCTGCACTCTTCTCCTGGTCCAACAGCATGACCATGAACACACAAAGAAGCCTAGTCCTTCTTTGTGGGTAATCTGCTTGTAACTCCACACAGAGAAAGCAGTGGGAATTGAATACTTCATTATTTATATGGATGAAGCCCCTACCTTTGCCTCAGTTTCCCTTTCCTAGAAAGGTGACAGCAATTTCTGCATCACAACATTTATTTAATCTGATTTTCTTCTGATGATGATGTCTTGAATATCTTGAAGTATGAAGGTGTGTCAGTAATGGATAAAGGTAGGCCTCCAGGCCATGCTGGCAATCCAATGGAAATCACCTGGACTTTAGATCTCTGTGGTTCTGGTGCACATTTGGGTGATGACAACAGGGGACATTTTTCTGCTCTGGAAAATCCCTGTCCATCAACTACAGTACAAGAAGAACTAGAATCTACCAGGACTGTATTGCTTGACAGGCAAGAGGCAGAATGATCCAACTCAAAAACCACAGCTTCCTTTTCTCTTTTTTTTCTTTTTTTTTTTTTTTAATATTGCACATTTTCACACCCAAAAATAGCCTATATTTTTCTCAAAGTTCTATGTTAAATTTTTTAGTTAGCCTCCTGCTGTAAGTTTGGATCCTCAGAAAAACATCAGATTGATTTTTAAAACATTATATACATTTTTCTATAGCCATATAAACAAAAATGTTATTTTGTTGCCCTTGTTGCAGGAATTATTGTTAGGATCTCACTCTCTTCTCTAGCAGATGCAAGGCACAGCCACCAGACCTGCAGAAGGGCATCTGAAAAGGTGAGATGAATAACAGTGTACACCCACAGAGTGGTAAACAGATTTTCAACCAAGATTGTTCCCAAATGCTCTGTTGGTGAAGGGATTTGAATAGATGAACCTGCTGGTGAGAAGCTGCTGTGGGACATGCTGCGTAGATCCAATCCAAGGTTTTCTGATGAGTGAGTTTTGATGAAAATGAATTACTCAGCTGGGCTGGTGATCTTGTCAAATGAGTTCTTTAGTGCTTCCGTGCTGCTGAGCTACTGGTATTTAAAGTGAAGCTTCAAAGGGGGCCAGTGAGGCAGGGCATGTGTTCCATTCCTGTGCAGCATTTTTACAGCATATGTTAATATTTTCTTTCCCTTTTCTTTTCTAGATCATTGGGTGAGACTGAAATGCATATACCTACATTCGTAGCAGATACTTTGGTTTTGTGCAAGAAGCCTCAAGTATATGATCTGATTTTTTTTTTTGTTCCATCTCCTTCATTATTTTGTCCTGTGCATATTTCAGTTACAAAAGAGAAGCCTCAAGTATATGATCTGATTTTTTTTTTTTTGTTCCATCTCCTTCACTATTTTTTCCTGTAAAGACAAAGTGCATATTTCAGTTACAAAAGGAAAAAAAAAAAAAACTATAAAGAAAAATATATTTAAAATCAACTCGAGTCAATTCTGCTACAACAGAATTGGCTGCTGCTGGGGATCCAGTGTGACTCTGAAGAGTTGTGCTTGTAGCCTCACTGGAGATCTCAGCTGCTGTTGTGCTTTTTATCACTATTGTGATAAAATTGGTTATCCTCTTCAAAGGCAATGCCTGGCTGGTCTCAATGATGGTGTCTCCATGTGTTTTGGTCTGGCTAGGTAGTGCAACCTTTCTCCAGTGGCATCTGTAGGTTTCTCTGGGTGGTCCAGCACAGCCTTTTCTCACCATCCCTCTCTCCTGTAACTCCTGGCTCTACCCTCCCCGAACAGCTCCCCCCTGTCCCATCTCGCCCCACTGTGCCTCTCCAGAAATTACTCTGGGGATGTGCTCGTCACACAGAATGGGAGTGCCCTGTGCAGAAGAGAGGCTGAGCCCAACAATCTTCAGGGGGGGTTTGCTGGGAGCAGGATTTCAGCTCCAGCACCGTGGGAGCACAGCAGGGGAGTCTGCCAGGCTCGGCTGTGGTACAGCAGCACTGGCAAGGTCAAATGTCCAGGTAAAAGGCTGTTTTATCTGGTACTGAGCCCTAAGTGTGGAACATCACAGCTGGGAGGGGAGAGGTTTAGAAAATAAACTTGTTTTCACATTTATAAGTCTATATATATATATGTATAGATATGTCCAGATATACACACAGATGTGTAAATATATATGTGTCTCTCCTATATATACACTTACATGCACACACCAGCCAGTCACTCCAGAATATTGCTGTTGGAGAGAAGGATGTCATGTCCATTTTTGGAGGTATTTAAATTCAACTGACAAAAAAGTGTCAAATCATTAGGCCATGTGAGAAGAACAGACTTGTGCTTTTTCAGGCAGAAGGTAATACTCCTGGAAATAGATTTTCTTTTAAAACTGGCTTTAATATTTCAAGAAGCTTTGCTGATTGAATTTTCAGCAGAGGTGACCAGCCCAGTGTATCTGTATTTGGAAAGAAGTAATGTTTTGTTGTTGTTTACAGAATGTAAATGCTGAGAAACTCACAGTCTCTCCTTCCTGCAGTGTTTTCCTGCTAAATTAGCATCATGCCAATCACATTGGGTTTATTCCGTCAGCACTTGCAAAGTTAATAAAGTATCCCCATGACAATTGTTTCATCATTAAACTGTCTCTGTGTGTTTTAGTGTAGCTTGCAGTTGGCATAAGGTAAACAAAAGATAGCAAACAATCCTTGACTGAGAGTCGAGTTATGACTCATAGAGTTACAGCAGTGAAAAACTGAAAAATCACAAAACCTCCTGTGCATGAATATTTTACTTCTTTCCCCCTTAGCTCCTCTGAAAAATAAGCTTCCACAGCAGCAAAACCAGGCAATCAGCAAGGACCGTACCCACCCCTACCCATACCTGAAGGGCAGCCTCTGAGTCCTTGGAGCTGAAATATAAAACAGGCAAAAAAAGCTAAGTTGTCTTGCGGGAGTTTGGCACCAGGAGCTAGGATATGTTGTGTCTGAAGACCTAGGAGTATTTTAGGACAGCGCTGCCTATTGAAATGGAAATGTGGTTTTCAGGCTGCTTGAGCAGACAGAGTGCATCACAGTCAGAGGCTGAAGTAGGCTAATGAAGTGCCATGTCTTTGAAGTCCGATTGCGCAATACAACCCCCAGAGAGACGCTTAGAAGATTTCTTTTTTTGCCTTGCATTGATCAAGACTAAAATACTTCTGCTATTAGCTTTAGAAAGGTGTAATGGAATTGGTGGTGGGACTACGGTAATTCCAATGACGTGCTATGCAAACAAATGCTTCGTTAATGAATACTCAAAAGATTAACCTGAAGTGCCTACATGCTTTTAACCCCCTGCCTTCCCCCAGTGGTTATGGATAATGCAGAGTAATTTGAGGTGAGGTGGGGGAGGGAAACCCAAAACTCACTAATGGCAATTAGGCTATGTGATAGTTGGGAAAAGGAGGCACTGCAGTTCTCAAAACATGCCATTAATCTCTGACCTGATGAGCAGGGTGAGATGGGCAGGCAAGATCACTGGAGACAGAAAACTTCCAACAGAGGGCATTGGTAGAGTGGGGGATGTGGTCAAATTTGGAGAAAGAAGAGTGACGAGGCACACGACAAAAGCCTTCTTTCCCTCCCCCAGTACATCTCCAGAGAAGAACTGAGACCATTTATTTCACTAGGCTCCCTTTTCATCTTCTTATTTTTCTTATGGCTGTGAGTCAGTCTGAGATTGATTTATCAGCGCTGTTAATCTGCTCTCAAAAGGCTGTCAGTCTCACTCCCAGCAGCCAAGCTCTCCCATTAAAAACCTGACCTATTCAAACGTCCTTAAGATACCGTAATGATTGAATGTCAGCAGGGGAGAGGCAGCAGTGACAGCTCTGCAATGTTTATTGTCCCGGGCAGGACCAGGAGGGGAGAGTGCCGCTGCAGCCCGGAGCACTGCGCTTGGAATGGGATGAGAGGCTGGGGGACGGGTGCTGCCAAACTGGGAAGATCGGCTGTGCTCCTGTGGTTTGGAGGGTTAATGCTCTGAAGTCCCTGCTGACCCCATGCTGCTCAAAACAGGAAGAGGTGTCAGGGGTTTACATGTTGATAGCAATAGATCACGGATTACAGTGGCTTAAAAGCCACTTAAAACATTTTTGGTGGCTGAGGAATTATTTCACCAGGCATGTTTGTATGAAAGCAGATGCTTTCCATAGAGAGATTTAAATTTCTGTTCTACTGTCACAGCACACAGTAGCTGTCAGCAAAGAATTAATTGAGGGGAAATATTTAAAATTATGATGCTGAAAGGAAGGTGAAGAGATGTTCCTGATTCTTCTTCAGGCTGCAGGTACATGTGTCCATGGCCAAGCACAGGCACTGCAGCAGGGGGAGCACAAAGGCTGGCAGAGACCTGAAAATCTCCGGTCTAATAATGGGAATCTAGCTGTCATAAATATACTTTCAATGTACTGTTCAGTGCCAATTTTCTCATCCTTAAGAGATGTAGCAGAGTGCAGCTATTTTTAAATCTAAGTTTCTCTCCCCCTCCAGTTTCGCTTTGGGCAATCAATGGCTTGAGGAATTAAAACATAATTCTTCACAAGACAAAATAAATCACTTGTTCAGAGTGGGTCTGGCTTTGCTCTGGGATAAGATGTTAGCATCTTTCTTCTCTTGAAACTATTCCCAGATGGATGAACTTTGTCATCCAACTAAGTAATTTTGGTTCTTTTCCATTTGTTTTTTTAAATAGAGGCTGCAACAACAGGAGGGACCAGTGACCAAAAAAAGCCCTTGAGGTAAACAATAGGTTCTCATTCTTTTTAGATGCATCTTGTAGAGTGATGATCTTTCTGCTTTTTTTTTAATAGAGCAACCCAGGGATCCTGACTGCAAAGATGTTTTCTCCAAGCATCTGTCTCTTAAACTGGTGTCCTTCTCAGTCATTGATCTTGCTTTTCATGAGTGCCAGGTTATTACAGTAAACATTTTATTAAGAGTAGTCTAAAGACCAGCTTTTGACAAAACCCAGCTGGCTGGTTGATCTTTTTGTCTACAAAAATAGAGAGGGTTCATAACTGAGCTTTTTACAGATCCAGTATGTCAACTTTTGTATATTAGACCAGAAGATATTGACGTTATCTTCTGTCTAGAGCTGATAAATGTTATTGCATTCCTTTCCAATATGTAATGTTATTAAAAATAGTTTAGTCACAAGAGCTCCTTATCAAAGACCCTTGTTTCCCTAGAAACAGTGACCAGCATTAACCTTTCTAAAAGTAGCCCCTGCAAAAGACAAATGTCTTTGGTTGTCCCTGTTACAAATTTTATCTAGGGAAAACATGCTGCAATTTCTGTTTCATATTAAGAGAAAGCAAATAAACTCCACAAAGGCAGGATTAATGTGCAGCATCCATTCATATCACGCTAGCAAAGAAAATAAATTGATTATGTTTGAACCAGTTATCTGTGTCCCTTTCTATGCAACACAAGCATTGAAATTGCTTTAGAATTAGCTATGGAAACAGTTGTTTGCAACCCCAAAAAAGAAAAGGGAGGCGTGGGAGCAAGATTGTAGTGTTCATGCAGGACTGATGAAAGCTGACTATTTGAAGAACAGAAAAGATGTAAGTGATAACAGTGTATTTGTAAGAAGATGGCTTCTTCTAAGCAATGTAGGTGGTAAATGAGAATATTGTGTTTAGAAGTAAAGCTCCTGGCTACGTGAGAGAGGAGCAAGAGGGAGAGAGTATCAGCATTTTGTATCCTCATGGCTTGAAATAATCATATTCTCTTCTCAGCACATTAACAATGTCCAAAGCTTGGTGATGCTTGTGATTTACCTTGTTTCCAATTATGTGATCAGGAGCACCTGCTTGAGTTTACACAACTACTCAGCAAGTAGTTGTGTAAACTCAAGCAGCCAAAATCACCACCTCTCTATTCTTTTTTGACAGATATAAAGCAAAAAGATGGTGATTTAGATCCAACCCCGACACACATCTGTGCTGCAGGGCACCAAACACCTCTAAAGCAGGAGGCTAGGCAGCAATTCTGGTGTGAGTGTGACAGCCAGTCAAACTCTAGAACGTGACACAAGTTGCTTGTGTTCAGCTGGAGTGCAGATTCCTTTCACAGACGAATACAGACCAGGATGGAAAGCTTCATCCCTAGCTCTTATCCCTGTGTCTGCTCCCTAGCAGAGCACTCTTTTCTCCAGTCTGTCTGGAGGTGAGCATGTCTCTAGCACAGCAGTAGTGATTCTCTGTCTCTGGGTTGCATTCCCTAAATGCTAAAAATACCAAGTTACCAAAGTGCTCAAATCCTCAAGCTGCCACTCAGTC